TGAACGCTTGAAGTCACAGGGATGACTGTACTAATTTGTGGTCACTGGGATGACTATCATTGAACGCTTGAAGTCACAGGGTTGACTGTACTAATTTGTGGTCACTGGGATGATTATCATTGAACGCTTGAAGTCACAGGGATGACTGTACTAATTTGTGGTCACTGGGATGACTAACATTGAACGCTTGAAGTCACAGGGATGACTGTACTAATTTGTGGTCACTGGGATGATTATCATTGAACGCTTGAAGTCACAGGGATGACTGTACTAATTTGTGGTCACTGGGATGACTATCATTGAACGCTTGAAGTCACAGGGATGACTGTACTAATTTGTGGTCACTGGGATGACTATCATTGAACGCTTGAAGTCACAGGGATGACTGTACTAATTTGTGGTCACTGGGATGACTATCATTGAACGCTTGAAGTCACAGGGTTGACTGTACTAATTTGTGGTCACTGGGATGATTATCATTGAACGCTTGAAGTCACAGGGATGACTGTACTAATTTGTGGTCACTGGGATGACTAACATTGAACGCTTGAAGTCACAGGGATGACTGTACTAATTTGTGGTCACTGGGATGATTATCATTGAACGCTTGAAGTCACAGGGATGACTGTACTAATTTGTGGTCACTGGGATGACTATCATTGAACGCTTGAAGTCACAGGGATGACTGTACTAATTTGTGGTCACTGGGATGACTATCATTGAACGCTTGAAGTCACAGGGATGACTGTACTAATTTGTGGTCACTGGGATGACTATCATTGAACGCTTGAAGTCACAGGGATGACTGTACTAATTTGTGGTCACTGGGATGATTATCATTGAACGCTTGAAGTCACAGGGATGACTGTACTAATTTGTGGTCACTGGGATGACTAACATTGAACGCTTGAAGTCACAGGGATGACTGTACTAATTTGTGGTCACTGGGATGATTATCATTGAACGCTTGAAGTCACAGGGATGACTGTACTAATTTGTGGTCACTGGGATGACTAACATTGAACGCTTGAAGTCACAGGGTTGACTGTACTAATTTGTGGTCACTGGGATGATTATCATTGAACGCTTGAAGTCACAGGGATGACTGTACTAATTTGTGGTCACTGGGATGACTAACATTGAACGCTTGAAGTCACAGGGATGACTGTACTAATTTGTGGTCACTGGGATGATTATCATTGAACGCTTGAAGTCACAGGGATGACTGTACTAATTTGTGGTCACTGGGATGACTATCATTGAACGCTTGAAGTCACAGGGATGACTGTACTAATTTGTGGTCACTGGGATGACTATCATTGAACGCTTGAAGTCACAGGGATGACTGTACTAATTTGTGGTCACTGGGATGACTATCATTGAACGCTTGAAGTCACAGGGTTGACTGTACTAATTTGTGGTCACTGGGATGATTATCATTGAACGCTTGAAGTCACAGGGATGACTGTACTAATTTGTGGTCACTGGGATGACTAACATTGAACGCTTGAAGTCACAGGGATGACTGTACTAATTTGTGGTCACTGGGATGATTATCATTGAACGCTTGAAGTCACAGGGATGACTGTACTAATTTGTGGTCACTGGGATGACTATCATTGAACGCTTGAAGTCACAGGGATGACTGTACTAATTTGTGGTCACTGGGATGACTATCATTGAACGCTTGAAGTCACAGGGATGACTGTACTAATTTGTGGTCACTGGGATGACTATCATTGAACGCTTGAAGTCACAGGGTTGACTGTACTAATTTGTGGTCACTGGGATGATTATCATTGAACGCTTGAAGTCACAGGGATGACTGTACTAATTTGTGGTCACTGGGATGACTAACATTGAACGCTTGAAGTCACAGGGATGACTGTACTAATTTGTGGTCACTGGGATGATTATCATTGAACGCTTGAAGTCACAGGGATGACTGTACTAATTTGTGGTCACTGGGATGACTAACATTGAACGCTTGAAGTCACAGGGTTGACTTAAGCATTTTCACAGTCACAGGGATGACTGTTATGACTTAGTAAGCGAATTTGAAACAGTTGTATGTTGCAGAACTATGTTAAGAATTAAAATGATTGAATGACCTACGAGACTTTTATTGAGTCAGAGTAGAGTAGGTCAGATATGGCCGAGCGTGAATGATACTGTGCGGTATTATCTTTTGCTTCAGATTAACACACGAGGACGTGTGCAATACAGGATGGCCGTGTCGCATCCGGATCTTGTTTACGGAAGATGAACGACACACAAACGTCAGAGTGACGTATACAGAGCCTAAGAGAAAAATCATTTAATAACCTACGAGGAGTTTATTTCTCCCCCGGATCCCTGCTGATGCCCACATTGAGTGACCATGAGAATAACGGTAATAACGGTTCTCCGATATATTTATTTTTAAAGTGAATATATAACTAAATATTCTGTGAATATTTCAACCGTCTACCTGTTGGCGTTATCAATATCGAGCAAAAAAATCACTTTGTTGTATGGGGAGCCCCCTTAAATATTTATTTTATTCTGTTTTTAGTATTTGTTGTTATAGCGGCAACAGAAATACATCATCTTTTTTTTTTATAATGGGACTAATGCCACCCACATGCCCACCACTGTAACTCCTGTAAACCAGGATCGACAGCAGTGACCCACGAACACACCGAGTTATGACACTCGGGAAGTCCCAGGAAGAAATTAAACTGTCTTGGAACCCGCAACGAAATTAATCAGAAGAAAATTGGAGGAGTTGGAAATACAGTAAATCCACTTCCCTCCTTAGCAAAGCGAGAGACAAAATGAAGTAAAAATGGGCATACACCCTTTTAAACAGGAAAGCACCACGGCCACAAAATATTACGGGTCCTACGTGAGCTATATTTGATTTCTATACTATGTATGGCAGAATCGTTAAACGCACCAAAGACTACATTCCCAGAGGATATGATGAGCCGACTGTTCATAGTGAGAGTTAGGTGTTGAGCATTGACACAATGGTGACTCGACTAATTTAAATGAATAAAGCTTGCTCTTAAAGTTACCATGACCCGTAAGAAATTGAGCGACACAGTGATCCACCTCGAGCCATGTCCTCGACAACCGTTCGCGAACAGATGGAAAGAATTGGTAAAGATGGCCCCCTTGGATGATTCATCCCAGCGTTGTTGCCAATACATCATCTGTGAAAATTTCAACTGTCTAACTATCACGGTTCATGAGATACGGCCTAGTGACAGACAGACCAACGGAGTCTTAGTAATAGATTCCCGTTTTACCCTTTGGGTACGGAACCCTAAAAAAAGGATTGCCATGGCTGCCTCTTGCTGTATGAATAAGTCCAGTTGAGAATCTGTTCTTCCTAAAATGTTTAAAATTTAACAGTAATAAAAACAAAAACGTTTTAAGTGGAGGGTGGGGCAAACGCCCCACCTTGCCCCACTGTGGGTACGACCAGAACTTTGTTTCTAGCAATAATATGCAACACATTTTAAAAGAACCTACCATCCATTATGATTGTAAATAAAAAAAAACTAAATCTGTCCATAAAAGAGCTAGGGGGTTTAAAGGTGTGAAAGTGACGAAATTCCGAAAATTTCAAGAAAAATTAATGAAAAAAAACCTTGGGGCCTAGGTCAGATCTTAGGTGCTAAGTAGGTTCACCAGGGACTTCCTTTCTAGGGTATACCTGGTTCCCCGGCTATTAGTACCCGGCGACGGCGTGCGGTTTTAGTCGGTTCGAGTCCGACATGCCACCGACAGGTGGTATCCGAGGGGATTTCCGCACGGCAAGAAAAAAAAAAAAAAAAGGTGCTAAGTACGTAACAGACGACCCCACCTACCTCCTATTGCCGTATTATGTTCAACGTTCCGCCGAACACCCTGTATACTGGACCCCATAATTTTAATGTTACAGAACATTTACATATTACTGTTTTCAAAATCCTAGCTTTCTTTTTCTATACACTTTTTTTACACATTAAGTGTTAAAAATATATAATAAATACATATTTATTCATTTACGGATTATAAATTGCTATGTAGATCAATCAAGGAAAGAAAAACAGGTTTTCAACTATTGAGGCTATTAAAAAAAAACACCAAAAATATCACAATAAAAAATTTATTATCTATATAACATAACATCGAACCATAACCGTAGAATGAAACGACTGTATAATACATTGTATATATATGTATATAGGCTATACATGGCATTGGGCACGTTACAATAACCGAGAAATGTTCCACAAGAAACAGGACAGGTCTCACTTTTATACTCCGTTCATATACTTCCTAGCATTCGTACCTAGTAAAAACTGTTTACATATTTATTATTTTACCTTTTTTTTGTTAACTACCCCTTGTTAAAAGCGTATTTATACAAATAACGTGCAAATCTAGAACATCCTAGAAGATGGTTTGTTCGAATATGTATTATTAAGATATTGCATATTTACAAGTCAATATTCGATGATAAGGCGTGTGCGATAATATTTTTTAATGCATAAAAAATAAAAGTTAGTGTTTATCTATTATGATAGTGTCTTTCCATTACACATATAACATTACTACATTAATGTACCGTGCCAAAATACCTGGTGTCAAACGCATAAATAAATAATGACAATAATAGCTATCAATAGTTAAAACAATATCATTTTTATACTACAATCAGAAAAGGAATAATTTTATATGAAATATTTGTTTTCCATATAAAAATACTCAAAATAATTTCAAATTACAGTTGTTTGTAAACACACAGTAACATATCATATATAAAAATACATACCGTGTACTAGACTAAATGATGAGACACTTAAATATTAAAAATATATATTTAAGATACAGGCATACTATTCGACGACATCTGAATGTTTACAAGCAAATGTAGACCTTAAAAAAGAATAACTAAGTTACAGTATACATTACGTTAAAAACGTTAGATTCTGACACCAGGTATGTGTATATAAAGGTGTGATTAATTACATGAAATCGTTATAGTCATCGTCGAAATTGCCGTATGTGTCATATTGGTTGAGATGAGCCTGGGAACAAGAAAAATAACAATTTAACATATATATATAGATTGGCAGATGAATGGTAAATGATCAAGGTGCCACAGACAGTGTAGAATCTCTTATTACAAAACTTGGTTCAGCAAATTTTGGCTAGATGGCGTTAGTTTTAGTTTTCATCCGAATCTAAACAAACTTGAAACATGTAGCTTATTTATGGCAACATGGGGAAAGGATTGCCAAAAGATACATGAGGTAATGTCTAAAAAAAAATTCACACTACGAGAATGTGTCATTAGGCCGCTGCTAAAAGCAGAATGCCCCAAAAAGCTTCTGTACTTCTGGTAGACGTTTCTTAAAGTTTATGCAGTACTGATTGAAAAGTCAAAAAAAAAAACTGCCAGTTTCTTTCTTCAGGATGTTAATCTCAGGAATGGATTTTAATGTTTACCAGATGACTAACTTTAATTATGGGAAAATAAACAGCAAGCTCAGCTAGTAATATATCCTTATACTTCTACATCAAGCGAAACAATGGAGTTTAGTGCTAGTGCATTGTGGTTTTCTCGAAGTGGACTTTTTTTTTAAACCACATGGTTTTTCCTAATGTGACAATGTCTTCTCTAACTCTAGCCAATGAGTTTATACAGAGGATTCTTTCTAGTATATTTGAAAAACCATACAAAATGTTAGAATTACAAAAATCTAATTGCTTATGTGATAAAACGACCAGCAGTACTTAGTACCTATGTTATTTTCTCACCTTCGAGTTTTATACAAACATTTAATTGAGTAACCTATTAAACATAGCAGTCAAACATATCACAAAAAGTAACAAAAGGGATCAACATTGAATGAATCACAAGCGATTAATTGAGTAACACTTTGAATTGGATCTAATCAAAATGTTTATAAATGACAACATTATATTTAGGTAAAGTTATCAGACATAGCATAATGCGTCACGTATTTAGTGATAAAGAGATAAAACACGTTACCGAATACATGCATTATAACATCTTATCAATGTTTGATAACAGATATTTAGGAAGAAATTATTAGAAACTAGCATTCGCTCGCGGCTCCGCTTTCGTAAATTTCGGTTATAGGAGTATAGCCTATGTCTTTCGTCAAGAATCAACGTATCTTCATATTACTTTTAATCTTATTCGGTTCAGCGGTTAACGATTCCCCATGCAAATTTCCACCAGCTTAAAGGGTGATTTCTGGGATAAAAACAACCCTACGTCCTTTTGTATTGTTGATCTCTGTACCAAATTTTATCTAAATTGGTACAGCGGTTTAAGCGTGAAGAGGTAATAGACAGAAAGATAGACAGACACTTTCGCATTTAAAACATTAGTATGGATGGTCAGGACACAACTATATGACGTATTTTCTTGATCTATACAAGTATCGGAATACACTTTTTGCCACTTCAAATTTTTTAACAGAAATTTGCTGTATTACTTCAGTTTTTCCGTACATTAGCCACCGTTTGACAGAGGTAATTTAGAAAAACCAATAATCATAGAAATGGCACTACAAAATATAAGTTAGACTTCAATTGACAATTTATATCATGTGTTACTTCTTTATAAGCTTAACAGTGAGCTTTTAAATTGTTATGTCTTGTACCATATTTTTCCATGAGCTTTACCAGGTAATAATAACAAATAATTTAAGAAACCAACACATGGCTGTCTGGTCACAAACTACAAAGAGCCAGAAGGTGCTGTATAACCAGACAGCTGACAAAACTTCCTTGCATATTAAAAAAGTTATGCCTATCCAGAAATATTTATTTATTATTATGATGTTAATTAAGGGCACTGATGCAATGACTGATTGATGCTGAGGACTTGCATTTAATTAGGTATCATATACATTTATTACCGAACTGTCTTCAGTATTTAAAAATCTTTGTGCTCATCACAGAATTATTTCTGTGGTGGGAATTGCACCCACAATCACTTTACCAAAGTATATCAGTAGTAATGTAAATATTCTTATTTGGCTGTACACTTTTAACATACTGAAGCCCTATGTTCAATTAGTCAATTACTAAAATTTTTCAATAGCTTGTTTCTTATACAGCTTTTCTTTAAGTTGCCAAATCCTTGCTTATATTATGAATGTGAGTTTGATAGTTACACTTGCATGCCTAAACCACTAAACCGTTTTTTTTTTTTCACCAATTGTAAGCCGCAAGCCAAAGATAGTTTTAAAATAATAAAAAAAAGTAAATACTCACATTATCCCCTTCAACTTTTAATTTTGCCTTGCCTTTGCCCTTGGTTGGCTTCTTTGACTTATCATTCTTTTCAGATTTTTGTTTCTCAATGTATAGATTGTCCACTGTCAATTTTATCCTTTTAATGTCTGCTGAATGCACTGGAAATTATAACAGTATTATATTAGACAGTTGCTTTGTGAAACACTTAGGATATAACACGAGCTCATAAAAAAAAACTAAAGGGTCCATCCAGATTGACATTCCTGTCATTTTTCAAATTAAATCGAGGTAGGCTTTAAGTGTACTATGATACGGCTGAACTTTAAATTTCTACATGGAGCTACTGCTATCAATCCTCTACAACCCCAGTACTAGGCGATATCAAAGTGCTGTACAAATAATGTTATCGGTTGTCAGACTTTTTAGGGCACCCACTACCCGTAACGATTGCCACAAATGTTCGTATGGTAGTCGGTACCGATGGCTTAACGTGCTAGGCACGGTGGACTGTCGAGTTCAAAAGTACCTGGGTTAGATTGAACGCGGGAGGCGGAGGACCGAGAAATATGGTGCAAGGTTTGAGAGGTTATGTTCAACAGTGGTCTTCAAATATTCTGATTAATCGATTGAGATTGGTGGTAGGCCTTCTGTCAAAGTCTATTATTGCATGTAAATCTTTAAACAACTTTGATGATGAGATGATAAAAAAGGCTGTAGATCATTCAACTTTACACAACATAAAATAAAGTCGCTTAGATCTTGTAAACGGGTAATTCGCCAAAGTCTTGTTTTTTTCATGTCCCGCAAAGCGAACACTACTTTTTTGCTTTAAATAGTCTCCCTATTTTTTTTTAATTAAAGTTTACTTTATTTCCAACTTAGTTTGTTTATAAAACATAAAAAATCATAAATATAACAAAGCCTAGGTCAATGCAAACATTCTAATTCTAATTTCCTTGGTATGTCCCCTACACAAAATTTCTTACATCTTAATTTATATCTAAACTCAGAGATATTTTTAAAATTTCTTATTTGCTATTGTATGTTTAATTACTAAAAAGGTATTTAAAAAATACATGTAATCAAATGCAATCATTGGGAATATGGAATTAAATGGCATTTTGTACATGTCCACGTACAAATTATAATTTCCTTGGGCTGTACGTTCGACACTTGTAATAATTAAACGCATGTATTTCAAAGATATAAAGTTACACATTTCGATTCGTCCATTTCGCCGCGACAGTCCACGGGAGCAGGACGTGCGTATCGCTGTTCAATTTCGCGCCATTCACGTAAGTACGTCCCTCCTTGGTCTTTGGTTCAAAGATATAATAATTTCTGTGGCCGTTATTGCTAATCATTATGGTCGCTATTTCAGTATTGTTTCCATTGAATTAGCATTGTTTTCTGGGGTAAAACCTTTAATTTAAGCCTTTTATACTTTCAGTGATTAGTTTATTTGCAATGATGTTTTTATCACTTAAAACTAATTTCCTTGGCACTAATTTCCGTGTTTTCCATGGTTTTTTAAATTACCATGGAAATTATAAAATGGCAAGGAAATTATAACGAATAGTATAATTTACGATATTTAAACTACTACAGGATACATAAAATGGGCAGAACGAAGAAAAAGCAAACAAGGGAAGAAAAATTAGAGAAAAAGAGATTGGCAGAACGTAGAAGATTGCAAAAAATAAAAAATGATCCTACATTATATGAAGAATTTAAAATTAAAGACAGGGCGAGGTATTATAAAAAGAAAGAACAAAAAAAAGTAGTTCCTATAAGTGAAATGACACCCCGCAGACAACGGACTCAACGAAAAAGAAATAGAGACAATTTTAAAGCATATTATTCACGACAGAAAAATAAAAAAAGATTAGATAGGTTACTTTCTGAAAATAGCCCTCCTGAATCAGGCGATGAATTGCCACCACAACCAATAGTTGAGAATTCCACATCAACACGACCAGTAGCTACAAATAGTTGCCCTCCATCGCCTCTTTCTTTATCGCGGTGCAGTCGGTCCCAAACAAGAAGCAATAGGGTACAGAATACATACCATGACCAGTTGATTATTTCTTCTCCATGTCCAAGTGATTCAAGTAATGTTTCAGTAGTTTCGAAATCTACTTTTAGAAGATATCAGTACAAAAAAACTAAAATCATCCAATCATTACAGAAGAAAATCGTAGAGTTACAGAGACAACAAAAATCTTTCAGAAAACAAGTACAACGACTGCAAGTAAAGAAAATTGTAACAAACTATAAAGAGACAGAAGGAAGTAAGAATCGCACTAAAGAACTTAAAAGTAAACATGCAAGTAAAATTCATACATTAAAATTATCCGTTCAAAGATTCCTTTCAGATGATGAAAACAGCAGGCTTTGTCCAGGAAAAAAGGATTACATTTCTAAAAATATGATTAAGCACCAAAAACGTTATTTATCTGACTCGCTACAAAACTTACACCAAAAATATGTGAAAGAATATCACAATGTTCATTATGGTACTTTTTGCAAGTTAAGGCCGTATTGGATTTTAGTTCCTAGTGTTAATGTTCGTGATACTTGCGTGTGCAAACTGCACGAAAATATGGCTTTACTGATAAAATCATTGAAAGCTAATAAGATTATTTTTGAAAGTAATCCTACTGAACTAGTGCAGAACTTAACTTGTGACCGAAACAGGACTAATTGTTTACAGAGAAACTGTGATCATTGTAGACATAGAGTTATAAACTACAAAGAATTCGACAACACCCAAAAAATAACGTACAGTTCATGGGAAACAAGCAATCAGTCTTATACAAAACAAGGTATAGAAAAGAAAGGGTACATCACGGAGAAAATCAAAATAACGAATAGTCCTTTAAATATTATAAAAAGTTAGAATGTGATCTCAAGCCATTCATGAATCATTGCGCCAATATTGTTAACCAAAGTCTGGCTCTTAGAAATACCAAAGATAATTTAAAAACCTATGAGTGCGTACTTCACATAGACTTTAGTGAAAATTATAACACCAAGTTTGGCACGGAAATACAATCAATGCACTTTGGAGGCAACAGGAAACAACTAACACTGCATACGGCAGTCCTTTATTATTATAATCAAACTACTGGATCCAAAGAAACTAAATCAATTTGCACACTGAGTAAGTGTTTACGTCACGATGCCGCCGCCGTTTGGGCGCATATAATACCTTTATTAAAGTATATTGAAGAAAATTGTCCACATGTTAATTCAATCCACATTTTTTCGGACTCACCTTCTTCACAATACCGCAATAAAAGGATTTTCTACATGATATCAAAGCTTTCTTGGTACCTACCGAAGTTGCACAGCGTTACTTGGAACTACAGTGAGAGTGGACATGGAAAAGGAGCCCCAGATGGCGTAGGCGGTGTTCTTAAACGAACGGCTGATAAACATGTTGCCTACGGTAATGATATTGCTAACTTAGATAGCTTAGTGTTATTTTTAAGAGAAAAAGTTACTGGTGTATTAATAGAGGTGGTAGACGAGTATAACGTCTTAGAAAAAGATTTATTATTTCCGCAAAAGTTACCAGTCTTTTCGGGATCGATGAAGGTACATCAAGCTGTTTGGAACTCCCAAAGCAGGGATTATGTCACTTTACGTAGTATGACATGTGTTCTTCCAGACTGTTTTTCAACTACTATTGTCTGCGGTCATGGCAAACATATAGGCTTTTATAAAATTGAAAATCCATTAGAATCTGAAACTCAAGTTAATGTCAACAAGAAAATTAAGGTTTTATCTGAAGTGATTATTAAACCTAACCTTGCCAAGAATTACAAGACAAACCACCTAAATTTGCCAAATGTATCTGTTTTTTCATATAAAAATAATGTTGAAGAACCCAATAAAAAAATTACTTGTGATTTAAGTATGAATTCTTTAAAAGACGAAGAAAATATTTCTCCGATTACGCTTGGGTCTTGGGTTCTGGTGGAGCTTAAAATTAACAAGCGTATTGAAAAGTGTGTTGCTTCGGTGGTTGATATTAGAATGAGTGATTATCATGTTATTTTTTTAGATCATGTTGATGGTTTACTGTACACTTGGCCGAATCATGGCGATATTGATATAATTACTACCAGTTCTATAAAAAGAGTCCTTAAGGAACCTACTATTAAAAACGATGGTGAGATTTTGTTTCAAGCTTTAACTTAAGCTGGTCCAAGGATTTAAATGTTGATTCAACTTATATCCCAATTATTTTCAGAAGATACTGTTTGTCTATTTATTTTTTTTATCTTGTTTTTATTGCTTACAAATTTTATATGTAGTTTGGTTAATAAATCCAAATTAGATATTTTTGGTTCATTAGTGACGTTTTTTAATAAGTATAGTGTTTACTTTGTTACCTGAAACTATGAATAAGCCTTTAATTATATTATTTTGTTTGTGTGATTACTTTGTAGATTTTTATAATGTGAATCATGATTACGTTGTTTCTTTTTTGTTTTTGATTACATGCATACTAGAAATGGCATTTTTCTAATTTCCACGACATAGTCCTAATTTCCTTGCAATAGACACATAATTTCCTTGAAGCCTTCCTAATTTCCTTGTCTGACAAAAATTTCGGAGCCTATAACTTTTTTCTGGCACCACTTAGAAAGTCCCCTTCTATATTAAAAAAACATGTTTTGGATCTTCTAAGTAATGACCAATCAAGCTGGCATTTATTCAGAAAAAAAAATCATTCCATGGAAATTAGGCAAAAATTAAGATTTTTGGCGAATTACCCAAACCAGACATCGGACTTTAACGGACCAATAGAGAGACAGTGATTCCAGATTAAGGTTTATATGTATAATACATGCATATTATAGTAGATTAGAGAATTTCAAAGATTTGTTGTAAAAATAATGTTTTTGTGCAGTTACATTGCAAAGCTTAAGGGAAATATATTGTTAATAGGAAATGACGGAAAAAGTCTTAAATCTTTAAAATGAAATGCATGTCTCTGATGAGACCTTTACATATCGAAACTTTCAACTAAACACTTAGAATACAAAGAAATCTTCACAGAAGATTTGATCTATATCTTATCATCTCTACTCCACACTTTGTTATTCACATCTTTCTTGCATAACACTTTGGACTGTACTTACTTTGAACAACAATATTCCTGACAAGATCATCAACAAAGGCTGGAAACTCTTCTTTACTCTTATATAGATTTATCTTTTTTGTCAGCATCTCAGTAAATTCATTGAATTCAGCCTTTGTGGTTGGGTTAAAATTGTCTATCTTGCCAGTGCTAACTTCTGTCACGCCTGAAATGAAAACATAATAAGTCTATATTAATATATATATTATATATATTTATTTAGACTCCTTACAGCACAAATGAAAATTGTACAATGGCCATGTGCATTCTCTGCCAGTCTACCTTATTGGTGGTGAAGAAATGTGTGACGAGAAAATACATAATTTGTAGGTAATTGTTTTGTCGAGTTTTGGTTGCTTAGGAATGGGTAGGACGCGCGTTTTTAGACAGACTCTGTATTCTTAATCCATCACCACACGGATTGTGCAATGGTCACAACTTTACCGTGATTGGAGAGAATACCTATGTATATCTACATACACAATATATGTTTATTAGACAGTCTACACTACATAGTTAAGCTTTGGATATTTTCTATATTTAAGTATTTTTCAGTATTAAAATTTGGGTATTCTTAATGGTTCTTGATGGGTTATTGCAATCTCACACAAAAGAAAAACAATCACAACATATTAGTGACTAAGAAATGTAACTATTAATGGAGGCCGATAAAGAAGAATGTAAAACGATTTTGACCAATTTCTTAAGTTTAGGAAGATGTTGTACCTGATCGTCATAACACCTGCTCAACACATAGCATATATTAACTATGCTCATATTCAGATTACTTCAGTCAAGAATGTAAAACAATGTAAAAGTTATTTATTAATATTTTATATTTTTTTAGTGATTTTTAGTTTAGAGAGTTTTCGAACAACAGAATTAGCACCATTGTGTACTATTATTTCAAAATCTTAACAGATTTCTCTTATTAAACTTGCTACTTCTCATATTTCCTGGTGTACCATGCCAAAGATTCAATGCCAAATTTTATGGTGAACCATCTCAAAATCTAAAAGATGTTCAAGGAAAATTCATTCCAGATTTAAGGACTAAAATATTTACTGATATTATAAATACGGAAGTGAACTGTATGTGTCTGCTATGTTTTCACGGTTAAACCGCTGAGCCGGTTTCAATGAAATTTGGCAGAGATATATGATTCTTGAGGAACGAAATAGGCTGCTTCTTAACGCGATAACCTAAATACATGCTGGCGGTATCACGGCCAAGAGCTGGTGATAGTCTACATAAGTGCTCAAGTATATGCCTCCTCAAAATAACAAAAGCTTCAACAGTGTGACCAAATCACATCATAGTAAGCATCTATTAGCACATTTAAGTTCATGGTAATAAGTTCAAGTTTATATGACTTACCAAAAGTTTCCATGGCGAGCCTGAGGTCTGACTCCTCCTGTAATTTCTGCTGTTGCAGTTTGTAGGCCAGCTTCTGTTCTGGAGTCATCTCCTCGGGCGCTTTTTCTGACGCAGCACGTTCAGCCTTCTCGCGTTCCAGACGCTGTAATATATACACACAATATATAATATATTAATACCATTTTTTCTGCTTTGGTAGGAGCAGTAACTCAAGCATAGTCTATCCAACAATAAATGCAGGTAACTTTTTTTAATATGGCCTAACTAATGGACGAAAAACATGAAAACAGTGATTATGATTAAAAATATTATTCAAGATTTTTCTCAAGCTGAAGTTGCTGAAATGTTTTGTGCATTTTGTCCATTGCTTTTAAGTCTGAAGTGGCATACCATAACTATTTTATCTAAATGGTTATCTTTTTATAGATGTATTGTGGTTTATGCACTTTGTGTAACTGCTACTTGTTCTATTTTGATCTGACACAAACTTTTTTCTTTATATATTATTAATATTTTCATATTTATTTTATGAAATCTTTCTTAAATTGTATGAAATCTCTCTCTTACTTAATGACTAAAGACAGATCAACACATACAATGGCAATAATCTGTTTTGTAGAATATTCAGTAAAATAAATGTATACCTATAAAAACATAATATGCCTGTGTCCCAATCTACAACCACCCGTTTCCAAGGAGTTGAGCCTTATGATAAAAAGGGCAAACTAATTAAAAACTAAAAGAATCAGAAGATTCTGGTTGTTGCATTTGGATCACAAGACCATAATTCATTACGTTTAAATGTATAGGTGTATTTTATTAGTCTGTATTACCTAAACTCTTATTGTCTACACCATGTAACTACTGTTTATAGCTTGATATAGCCGTAATTTTTTACACATATCTTAGCTTTCTGCATTAAATCTATACAATTATAAATTTTAATTGCACCATTTAAAAAATGAATTTTTAAGCAACACACTTTTCACTGATAATTTTTTTACATAATCCTGTTTATGTAAAAAAAAAACGGAGACAGATGATAGTAGTAGATACTTCTAATGATGGGTTAGAAAAAAATTATCCCGATAGAAAAAAAACATGTTTTTCAAGGTAAGTTTATTTGCATTATTCACACTCCATCAGCTTCCTGATCATCTGTTTGTTACTGTTTCATTTACTTCTACTAACATGTTGGAGTCAGAGACAGAGAGTGAATAATGCTAAAACTTATCATAAGTACATATTTTAGTCTGTCTGTGTCTCCAATTAAGTTCAAGTTTCGTCAAGTTTTTATGCCTAGTTTGTAAGTGCTTGTTGCTACTTTAGTTTGAATGCTGTTGTCTCATATAATTTAGGGAATACATGGCATGTATTACTGTTCATTTTATACCATGATATTACTATTTATATCCTTTGTTGGAGACTCAAAATAAATAAATAATGTGAGTATTTCTCTAACACTGTCATATGTTATTAACAACATTTACAACTTTAAATGTTTGATACCTTAGAATCTACAAATGCTAGAAATATAATTATAGATGCGTGTTTCAACATCACAGACTTACACACATTACTTACTTAGTCACATGACTAAATAAAGAAATAGTACACCAAATGTTTAGAAATATTTTTTTATGTACTTTTGAGATAAGGATAAATCCAAAAAGTAATACGTAAGGATAGAAAAATAGTAAAGTTAAACTAGAGCATAATGTGAATATTTTAGAATGTATTTAACAAATTGTGTAATTAATTCATAAAGTTATACTTTAAATATAAAACGAGAATGTTATTCAGGTTATTGGAAATACTTGTGAACAGTTTTAGTGTGTTTTTGCATTCTTGACCGAGATACATAAAATGAAATACAACTTTGCCTAAACCAGTTTTTATTATATTTTAAACTTAATGCACATGTTGTACAAAGGCGGACTTAATGCCATTATGCATTCTCTCCCAGTCAACCTTCAGGTGATGTAGAAATATGATGATTACTCATTCATGTTACCCAGCCAGAGGCATATACTTTCCTCAGGATCTAAACACCACAGAGTCTTAGGAATGTTTATTTCTTTTTAAAGACAACTCCCGCATCAGGAATACATCCTGTGTCGCAGGAGACCCCAAAAACACACATGAAACGGACACAAAGAACACCCAGATTCAGAACAACAATTTGTGGATCACACAAAGTGTCGTCCCATGTGGGGTTTGAACCCACAATACTCGGCATAATAAGAAGCAGAGTGGCGACCTCTTAAACCACTATGCCATCCGTGCAGTCAATACACTGAACATATTTGACACTGTTTTTGTATATTGTACATAATTCAAGACTAAAATTGTAAGTAGGAAGATTATATAATTGCCTCAATTGATATAATTATCAAATACCCAAATAATGTACAATTAATTATGAGTTACAAGGATCACTTTGCGCACTACACATCCTAAGCAATTTAGTTATACTGTTGATTATGTAGGTTGCCTTAAGAAGTTTCATTGAAAAATGTTTTTCCAACTCATCAAATGAGTCGGAAAGTGAAATTAGTCTCAAAACCCCCAAAATACCTTTCATCGGCACAATCACACAGTTCACTACATAACTCTTATATTAAAGTTACACTTCTTACACTATCACTAACAATATTATAAAATGACCAAGATTCTATCAAGATCTTATATGTATTATCATGGCAATATGAAAAAGTAAATATGTATATAAAATTTTGTCTATGAAATTTAAAAAGATTGGTGTTCAGAAATACAAACGGGTTATAAAAATCATTTTCTATAATAGGGACTATCATTATTAATAACTGGTATTGAAATCTCGTCTTTTAAATTAAGTGAAACAATTTCAAAGTTTCAGGTCTAGTAAAAGTAGACTGGTTGACTATAAACAGTAATAAGAAATAAGGAATCTTTAAAAATACCCCATTGACACTTTATATTTAACGACACGCTAAGAAACAGTTTAAGTGCAATCCTCTGGCCACATATGGTACATTATAATATCAATATGACAAGACTCACCTCTTTTTCAGCTATTTTATCATGAATTCTCTTTTTAGGCTTAGGTGGAGGCGGGGGAAGCTCCGTTTTCTCTTCATCTTTCTTCTCTTCTTCCTCGTCTTCCCAACTTTCCTGCAATATCACTGACGTCAACACGTATGCACGAAAATTGAGGTTATGTACAAGTTCAACATTAAATTCACTACACACAAACGTAATAAGTCTCAAAGATATAAATAAACATTTTGGCAAAGCATACGTTACCTTCACAGTTTCTTCCTCGTCCTCGCCTTCCCATTTATTTGAACTAGTCAACGTGGTCGGCAGTTTAGGCTCAAAATTATCCGCGTCTGGAAATTACCACGCAATGTCATAACTCACATTAAAATTTAAAAAATATACACCACTAGCTGTATTTAATATTACTTACCCCACGATACATCCATGTTTGCGGACTTCTGTATAGTACCAATCTAATTCTGTTACTTGTTTCACGTGAAGACAATATCAGACAGTGAAGTAACTTGCCGCAATAAAGGTTTTTTATCACAAGATGTCTCCAGGGTCGACAATGAGTACAACAACAATATTTTCTCAAGCGAATATTGTCAAACGATCAAAGATTTTCTGCAATGACCACGACTGGATTGAGAAACGATGGACAAATGACATAATTTTGGCGAAATCTCAACAAAACTATGATCGAATTTAGATAAGCAAAAATATGACTCCATTGCAGACGTTAATTTCCGAATCACTAAAAATTTTAAATATGGCCGAAACTTGGTATTACCAGATGTAAAATGAAAAGTTTAAACCGATGTCCAATGAGGAAATTGTTTTATGTCGGGTTACATTAGATATTTATAAAACTTAGTCTTAATAATTTTAATTAAAAATAGGAAAAATAGTTGTGTAAAATTTAAAAAAATAGTTGCAATTCTTTAGAACTTAAAACAAAAATCCTAAAAATCTTGCTAAAATATGCACGATTAGGACGTCACTATTGGACAAGGAAATTATTTCTACTTTTAAATCACATTCATTTGACGAAATGATTGATTTCAGTCACAGCGATTTCACATTTGATTTTGATTTCGTCATAGACAAAGGTAAATTGCATTAAAATCAATCAAAATTATTTTTATCAAAGATGAAGACCTTTTTTTTTGTTCCTACTATACCAACCCGTCTGGCCAACGTGGTATAGTAGACCAAATCCTCCTTTCTAAGGAGAGGCCAATGTCCAGCAGTATACTATTAAAGGCTGTTGATGATGTGTTGCGCTAGCGTAATAATTATATTCAATCAACTTGGTTCAATCACACTTGTATCATATTGATTTGTAATCATATCACAGGTAATTGTGATTTTTTTTCTATCTCTAGTTCTTATCTACATATACAGAGGGCCAAGTGCGAGTTTATTTTACTTCGATCTACTCGATCGTCCCTTTATCTTAGATCGTCACGGTGACCGCGTTCGGCGCTACGATTGGCCCGCACTAAAATCTCCACCAATCGCAACGCTAAACGCGCTCACCCTCGAGAGCGAGTCGCTGTGAAATAAACTTGCACTCAGCCCTCTGAAATCTCCACCAATGGCAACGCTAAACGCGCTCACCATCAAGAGCGAGTAATAATATTTTCTCTCTAGTTTCTCTATGAGATTTTAGGTACTCTCATTCTCTGTGATTAACATAAATCAAGAAATCAAAAATAGCTATAGATAAACACCAATGTCATCTGCGTATTACTATGACAAACGTTTGGTAAATAAAATAATGCGCCAAATTTACTCAAAATTCGTTTGTATTATATTTTAAGAATGAATATCTGCAGATGTTTAAAAACGGTTAGAAGACGTTTTCAAGGATCATGGCATATATTAAGGGTTTTAATGTGGAAAAATTTTACAGAGCACTTAAATTGTTGGCCTTCTGTATTATGGAGAATAATTCAGGGTTGCTCAGTATTTTGTGCATTACTTACCATCAGGTTATCATTATTATCATCAGCTGAGGAATATCCAAATTATGTAAATATTCTTTAATTATGGATCAGTTAGCCAGCCACCTAGTATCGTAGCATTGCATACCTACGTTTAAAGAAGCACGTCCCACCTAATATAAAACGTTTATTAGTGCTTACAAACATGCGTAACATCAATGACGTCTACAAAACTGCGAATCAGGATAAAACAAATAGTCTAACGTTACCGGTGTACCGTAGTCTTCTTTAAAAGTAGATATTACCTACTAGTCGCTTTATTACTAGGTGAGTTTTCTTCTGTAATATGTGCTTTTTTTAGTATCGTCAGGATGCTGTTGTTTTGTCGATGTAAAGATATAACAGTCTATCGAATTTTATCACATAGTTTGTGATCAGACTGCAGCGTTTGTGATGTCTGCAGTTATTTCATTACCTGTTCATTTTTGAATTAATGTTTATTTTTATGTCATAGATCAACTATATGTATGTTAAACTGTTAACGTTAATAAGTAATAATGTTTAAGGTACATCGACATGATAGGAATAGTGTTAATAAAATTATTTTCTCGCCTCGCAACAATATGACAGAAAAAATAATGGAGAATGTAATAAATGAACTGAACTGGATTGATCTGGCGTCAGGTTTGTTTTACCTTTTCATCATCATCATCGTCATTTAATAGTCCACTGCTGGACATAGGCCTCTCCTTAGAAAGGAGGTTTTGGCCTACTATACCACGCTGGCCAAACGGGTTGATATAGGGTTTGTGTCAAGTTTTCCTTCTTTTTGCAGTGCTGGTGTCCTGCGTTGTTTTACGCACCTAGTCGGCTCTTACGACACCCACGGGATGAATTGGGGTAGTGACATTCCGTGTTCTTAATCCGTCACTACACGGACAACCTTTTACCTTTTACCACGACCTTACCTACTCAGTTAAATAACTTTAAACTTTTCATATGCCCTGGTGTACAGCAGTTGCAGTGGTGGTCGTGTGGGCGGGATTAATTTTCATTATGACCAACTGAAGAAATATCACATAACAGTTGTAGGGATTGTATGTAAAAGACCTATTTCTTAGCCTTCCATGGATTCACCATGCGGGTGCGGGTCAAGGATGGGGCAAGATATGCGACTGGGAATTGCGACCCAGGAGTAGGTTTAGGGAGTACCTACTCCTTGCGACGCGTCAGCGCTCACCTCCACTGTCTGCTATTTTTCCCCCTCTACCTAACCAACACGAGCCTAGCAATGCCGCTGTGGTTATTTGTCCTAGAAAAGAGCTTACCGAAGCTCTCTACAATCCAAGGTTCTTAAAGCCGGTTATAGTTATTTATTAGTTAGGTGAAATTACTTGTTTCTTTTTGAAAGCTTGTTTGAAAATAAATATTTGTTGTACTGAAGCATCGAATAGAACAGTATTATTTTTAAATGGGATGATTCGCCCACTATTTTAACTCTTGTGCACCAGGTTCAGCAGCAGTGACCCGCATACAAATTGAGTAATGACACTCGGGAAGTCCCAGAAAAAGTCATTTTATTTTATTTTTTTATTTTGACTTAAGTTGTACAGTTGTACAGTTGCAAAGAGCACTTGAATACATAAATGCTATCATTAAAAATAATATCTGCCTCAAATAATAATAATATCTGTTTTTGCGTCAAATATTGTTGTTGCCAGCTTGTATTTTGAACTATCTTCGAATCAGCAATGCTATTAATCAGAAGTAAATCAATTCTCATATACTCAAATTCAACTCTTGTGTTAACCTCCTTTTTTTTTCTTGAGTTAACCCCTGGTGTTAATAAAATATGTATATTATGTACTAATTGTACCCGGCCACGCTTTGCTGAGATAAAAGTATAAAACCGTCTTCGAAGCAATTTCGAAATTTTGATACGATATAAGTACATCGTATCAAAATTTAAGCTCCTTGCAAAACTTCTTGAGTTTTTGTAACGTACACAAACCAAAATAACAGTTTTATATATTTTGATTGTTATTAGAACTGTAAAGTTAAACCTCGACTTGATAATTCGGAAATCTCTTAATCTAATTTTATCTTATTTTTTTGCGTTGTTGCAGGTTTGTCATCAGATTCATTGGAATTTGATTTCTACAATGCTACAGCATTTTTGGGTGATTCCAGTGACATAATTACAATGGTGAATTTTGAGGTATCTGATATCTAGTTTTTAAAATAACAAAGTATGATATAGAATATCTTATAGTGGATAGTGATTCTCCGTAATTTTACTTTAGAATCATTGTTTATGATATGTGCGCACACCACAAGTGTTTACTATACCAGCAGCTAGTAACAACGATGTGTTTTACGAATGTGTAGTCGTTATAACGATATATGTTCTAAAGTGGAAATTTTTAATAATAACATAAATGTATTGAAGTGCTTCTTGAACTAAAATATATAAACCTACCAAGATTTCAATGTAAAATTATAGTAACATATTGTAGATATAACTAATTAGTCAATTTACTGCATTTCATTATCCTTTTCATTCTATTTTTTTTTTGCGTTTGTGAATTATGTGTATAGTTTTGATTGGACTTCAGATTTGAAATTGTACGTTGTTACTAGTTATTGTGTGAGATATGGTCTGTTGTCTGTAACTGTACCTATGAATTTTAAATAAACACAAATATCTTCGGTAATTTGATTATTTTTCATGAGAAAAAGAAAATATTAAATTTTTCTATAATTTTTAGCCTGCCTGGTTTTAATAATACAGTATGTTAGAACAATTACTAAAAATGAATTAAACATATTTTTGCTGGAGAACAATAATGCAAACGAATTTAACCCAAATATTTTATGTAGTAGCGGCTTATTTGTAGAGTGCAATAGCAAGTGTTGCCAGGACGTAGCATATAAATGGCTAATATTAAAAAAATATAATAATTTTTGAAGTTTATTTCAATTTAAGTACGTTTAGTTATTCATCATTGTTATCAGGCGTTTAGGTGTAGCTAATTTTGAATTAGGCATTTTTTCTCTAATCGAATTATTGTAATTGTCACGGAATTTCTTCATATTACCAATAAATATGAAACAACATGTATATACTACCATCCTATATTTTGTTTTAGGACGCAGGATCACAAACAAATAATTTCACATACTCCATTAGAACGCTTGTTCAGGGACCGAGGTATGAATTAGAAGAGCCTTTTCGGGAATTCTTTTATGATCTTCAACATGCAGGTAGCATCTCATATCGCTTTTTTCTTTTAATTCTTAGTTTGCTAATGTTCCTCTTCGTTTAATTTAAGAACATATACAAGGTGTAAGGGACATCGTACCGAATACTGAAATAGTGTATTCAGACAATGATTCTGAGTCGAAAATTATTGAAGTTTTCTGCCGTAAAATTCATCATTTCTTTTTAATTTTTAATTTTTCTGGTTAAAAAATGATGAAAAATGATATCACAATGAGTAGACAGAACATTTTACAGAAAACAATTTAATAAATACCAGAAACTGCAATGTAATTAATCAAACAGCCGAAGCGCGTGGGTCCTCCCCTCCGGCCGCCATTTTGTGTTAGTGTGCGTAGACTGTTTGCACGAAATACACATGTAGTTATTACTTTGTGCGATATCTACGGGGAATGACCTAACGTTTGACAGCTAATTGCATAAAAAGTTAGTTCTGAGTTTGACTTTGACTTGACTTTGTCTAAATACACTGTTTTAGTATTCGTTACGACGTCCCTTACACCATGTATATAAAGAATTTGTACACGATAAGAATCGTCGAAGCTATCGTATCGGGTTAGGTACTTAACCAAAGTTATAGAGAAGATTACACATTTTTATTAGATTAACTTTTACTCGTAAATATCATCCCAATCTAAATCTATTGAACTTTAAAGAGATGAATTATAATGGACTTTCTTTCTATTTTCCAGAGAGCTATGTCACTCCTTCCTTGGGGTGGTTGCAGTGGGCTATAGATAAGTCTTATATAGAATACATTGGAAACCGCAGTGTTTTAAAAGTAATTATGGCACACTAGCACACACACACACACACACACACACACACACACCCCCCACTGTATGTTCGGTATACGCACATCTACATGCACACGCACACACACACTTTTGAATGATGAAGCCTACCCGCATCCTCAATGTTGTGACTTTTGTACACAAATAGCTAGGCAATAGTTACACACTCTACGGTTTACACACACATTACGACATACAATGGACAAGTAGACCTCTCTGTAAACCGTAGTGTGTGTAACCGGCTTAACCATAGCGTGTGTGAGCGGCTTTAGAGAGTCCGTGGAATAGATGAACTGACTTGGAATTTGAATCAATTTCGTATAGTATAGAGTAACTATATGTTGTGATGATGTTAACAGCTTCTTATCGTGGTGAGCTGTACATTAGCCTGTAATATGTCTAAATAACAAACCAATGTTATCATAAAAGAAGTATTAACATTGTGACAGTAGTTTCAGGGTTTAAAAGACATATCTTTGATATTTACAAACGTAGTTTAGATAAGAATCTTTTAATAATAAAATCACCACAGTCATACCCATTAATGAAGTCTTTATAATTTCTAGAAATTGCAATTTCGCTACCGAACAAATTTCATACCAGATTATGTGCAAGTGATACAGAGTTTTATTAATATGTGCATGGTTCTTGCGCCGCTGCCTTTTTTCTTATACAAGGCTTCTAAGTTCAGCTACGCAAAAGGAAATGGATTTCAGGTGACACAACTGTTGGCTCTAGAAGTACCATTAAATGCTGTCCGTCGATAGTTACATAAGTCTAGTCGTATTTACCCTAGGACCGAAGAGGAACGTGTTTGGGGTGCCAAGTCGCTATAGTCACCTACCCATTATTTGTTTAACTTTTTCAATTCACAGTTCTAAAGGAAATTGCAAATATTTTTGAAAGTTTAATTATATTTTATCTATGCTATATATAAAAAAGTTTAGTTGGTTTGTGTACGCTTATGTAAGACGTTCAATGTGTGTGTGTGCGCGACAAACTGCGATTAAAATTGTATCATGTGGTTTGATAGAGCTTTTTAATAGTGTATTTTATACTTATGCTTATTACCCTGTTATCCGCAGCAATAGCTTTTTTGTGACATGTGGAAGCCCCCTCGGGTCCCCACTGAGCTCTCGGCGAATTGTTTATGTGGAAATCAAACCAACTAATACCGTACTCACTTTGGAAATGTCCAAACAAGCACACCATTGCTGCACCGGTGCTACTGAAATGTACATAAACATGCGTTTATGTGCATTTCAGTAGCACCTTATAGGAATTTTAAAGTATGACATTTTGAATAGGATAAAGTTTGTATTATATTTTTTTAGAACTTGATGAGATTAGCAGGAGTTTCATATAATGTATACCGAATTTCACATTTGCTGTTCACTGTTGTCACATCGTCTATATACGCAACAATTATTGCTGGTATTCTTAAGGTAATATCATTGATTATAGAATACAATAAAAATTAAAATATACAAGAGTACATCAAATTAACGATCATGTACAAATGGCAGTCTTATCGCTGGCAACCTTATCTACTGTTAGAAGTGCTGAAGAATTGATTTTATACAATAGTTATGGTATTTGTACCAGTATTCTCTTAGAGTCGTACTGCAAAGGAATGCGATTCAGTATAAAAATATTAAAAATGATTACATTATTACCCAAGGGGGGATGATGTCAGACTGACTGACGTCAAAACAAAAAAAAAAAACATTTTTTTTACACATTGCGAAAATCGAAAATGGAATTAATTATGATAAAAACTGATGAAGTCCACTTTATTTTATATTTCTAGTACTTAATTATAATTATTGTTATTTGTTGTTATTATTTATACTGTATGATGTTTTTCTGTTTTTGTTCGCAGTGGTCTTCACATCCAATTCTCCCTTACAGTAATCCTGTGATCATATACATTAGCATTGTTTTATACTTCTTGAACGTAAATAGTTTAGCGTTCGTGACAAGTACCATATCTTCGGATTGTAAGTAATACATAATATAATTTGGAATATTGGTTATTATTCACACGCGTTGAGGACCGGGGCCTCAATTCTGCTATTTTATGTTTACGCCAAGCCAGTGTCATACCACTGACACGCTATTGAGATGCCATCGAGTAGCCATTGGCATCGGGTATAAATATCGGTAGTTGAAAATATATTACGTTGTTGAAAATATATATGTCGTTATATATTTGTTTTTATTATAATAAATTAAAATAACTAGTTAAAAAAATTAAATTAAAAATAAAAGAAATAAATAAATTAAAATAAATTATTAAAGAATAAAATATAAAAATTATAAAAAAAGAACTAAATAAATTATTAAAATAAAAAAATAAAAATAAAAAATCATTACCTCAAAAAACGTAATATATTTTCAAATTATAATGAAATGACTTATTTATTTAAATATTTTTTTTTATTTTTATTTTAATAAATTATTTCTTTTATTTTTAATTTAATTTTTTTAATAATTTATTTAATTTATTTATTTCTTTAATAATTTATTTAATTTATTTTTTTCTTTAATAATTTATTTTAATTTATTTATTTCTTTAAAAATTTATTTTAATTTTTTTCTTTCTTTCTTTTATTTTTATTTTTTTTTAAGTTATTTTAATTTATTTATTTAGTTTAATATATTTTCAACTACCGATATTTATACCCATGCCAATGGCTACTCAATGGCATCTCAATAGCGTGTCAGTAGTATGACACTGGCTTGGCGTAATAGCAGAATTAACACAAAGGGAAGATCCTCCATTGGCATCGGTATAAATATCGGTAGTTGAAAATATATTACGTTGTTGAAAATATATATGTCGTTATATATTTGTTTTTATTATAATTAATTAAAATATCCAGTTAAAAAAATTAAATTTAAAATTAAAGAAATAAATAAATTAAAATAAATTATTAAAGAATAAAATATAAAAATTATAAAAAGAGAACTAAATAAATTATTAAAATAAAAAAATAAAAATAAAAAATCATTTCCTCAAAAAACGTAATATATTTTCAAATTATAAGGAAGTGACTTATTTATTTAAATATTTTTTTTATTTTAATAAATTATTTCTTCTATTTTTAATATAATTTTTTTAATAATTTATTTAATTTATTTTTTTCTTTAATAATTTATTTTAATTTATTTATTTCTTTAATAATTTATTTTAATTTATTTTTTTCTTTCTTTTATTTTTTTTTAAGTTATTTTAATTTATTTATTTAGTTTAATATATTTTCAACTACCGATATTTATACCCATGCCAATGGCTACTCGATGGCATCTCAATAGCGTGTCAGTAGTATGACACTGGCTTGGCGTAATAGCAGAATTGAGGCCCGGGTGTCATGTCCCTACAACACAAAGGGAAGATCCTCCAACCAGGCGAGGTAATCATGCCTGGCGGGCTGCGGCCCAACGGTTGATGTTGGGAAGTTGTAAACAAGCTAATCGGCGTGAGAATTTTTCGTATCGTAACGTATCGTATCGTAACTGCGTAGTTCGGCGTGTCTTCGTTAGATGGCGCTGCAGTATATTTCTTCGTTTCACCCAAGGTCATTGCTCTACTCGTAAGGGTTGTAGAGTTTTTTTTTTATGATATAGTTACCAGATGGTAAATGATTATCCCCGCTCATAGCCACCTGCAACTGAAGAGCCACAGGGTGCCTTACCGCCCATTGCGTCGTCATTATTGAGCAACGTCATTAACTCGGTGAAAAGCAACGAAAAGCAAAAAATGCTTAATACCGGTTTTCCGTGGTGCCTATTTGTGCCGAAGTTTATGCCATTTGTGCCGGCTCTCCCACGGTGAAAATTTATCCTTATTAAATTTATCTATTTAACATAACAATTTCTTTTAAATCAAGTAAGAAATAAGTGTTTTCAATGTGTAAAAACTATTTCGTTTAAATTACTGTAGAGTTTCTTGTTTAATTTTTTCTATTTAGTTTTGTTATAGTTAGAATAAGTATTTATGTAATTGAATTTGACGGGCCTGTTGGTCTAGTGGTTAGTGACCTTGACTGCTAAACCGGAGGTCGTGGGTTCGATTCCCACCCAGGACAAATATTGTGTGATGAGTACAGTCATTTGTTCTGTGTCTGTGTGTAATTTATCTATAATATGTATGTATTTAAAAATATGTAAGTATGTTTATCAGCAGTCTGGTTACCATAGCACAGGCTTTGCCTAGTGTGGGATTAGACGGCCGTGTGTGATATGTGCTGTAGAGATAGATTTTGTTGTAGAGATAGATTTAGCTTCTTTAAGTTGCTCGTGTGACCTTTATTTATGGAGGTTTTTAAATATTGTAACAGGCTTTCAAAGTAGTCTGAGCAGGGTCCATTTACTTTTTAGTGCTATTTTTAAGCAACTTTGAATCCTATTCTACGAGGGTCGTAATTATTTTTAGGTGCTCGTCGTTTATGCATTTCTTTATTGAATCTATCATAAACAACTGCTGTTCTATCTTGGTGATTGTCATTTTAAAGAATCTTTCGTAAATAAGATCTTTCTGCATTTGTGATTTCATTTTATGAAAGGTCTTATTTAATTTTGATGCTTCAGATTCAATTAATTATTTTCATATTTTATATTTGTTCGTTTAACAGATCACTATAATAACAGCTTGGCTATGTTGGTGTACATCATCACTTTCCTAGTGGGCTTTAAATGGTTTACACAAAAGATGACTACTGAAACTACACGGATTATCGTGTGTTGCCTTCTGCCACATTCACCAATATTCATGTTTTGGGACAATGTGATCTATTTGGAAAACCTTGGTTAGTTAACCAAACATTCTTAATAGTACTATCATTATAAGTTATGTATATATAGACGTTAGAATGTGTGGCAGGTAGGCATGATAAAAATAACACTGAAAGCACAAATGGTAAGCATGCACTTGTATGCCCACGCACCCTTCCGTATCTCTACGTATGCCCATACATACTCGTACTTACCGCCGGACACTCATGTACACTCAAGCCCATTAAGTAAACTATATTAAAGTTTTGTAACAAATTATTATTATTTAAAAGTTATTTTTATTTTGTTTTTGCTAAATGAGCATAATATTGACCAGTGGTCGTTTCTGGTGGTGGTGCTTGGGAACTATAGCAGCTAAAACATACACATTTACACTATACTAGATAGTATAATATAATATCACCGGTGACGAGATAAAATAATTATATTTGCAGACATTGTGTTACTCTTGGCGTATTAGTTCGTTCCCTTGATCCCACAAGGCACAATTTGTTTTTTTTCTCTGTGTTTGAGTCTAAGAATATCACATGTGTGTCAAACTTAATCGGTCGAGTAACTGAAATTGGCTGTACCATAGGTGTTTTACCTCTGGTACAGTCTCGCGCACAAGTGATCCTAAAGGTTGCCACTTTTTCATACAAATTCAAGGAATATTTAAAATACAAAATATGTAGAGAACCAAACTTGCTAAGCAGTAGCATCGCCAAATAACCTGTTTATGGTTTAAATTAATGAGGTAAATAATAAATATTTCCAAACGGAGTTCGCTAAAAAATAAACGAATTTACTCGTTTCTTAAGCGCAGTATCTGTCTTTTATTACCAAAGTTGTTTGTGCATCTTCAGGTAAAGGCGTTACATTCTCGGAGATAAATAAAATGCATGGTTATCATCTACCGGTAACAGTTATATGGTTGGTACTCCTGTTGCATATAGTATGGTTACTGATCCTGGACTGGTACCTGGATCACGTTATACCATCAAAGTTTGGCGTCACTCGCAAGTGGACATTTATATTTAAGGTGTTTTTCGTTTATTATGAGCGTACTATTGCGTGGATAGTGATAGAAATAGATTAGACATTTTTAGCGATCACCATCACTCATTAGGAGGATGTCCAATATAATACGTTTTTATTTAAAATATCACTCTTATAAAAATGCAGTCAGGGCCTGAGCATCTCCCGCTACCGCTCGGAAACCTGCCCCCACAACTCACGAGTCTCGCCTTGCATATTCGTCGAGTATTTATTGTATTTCTGGGTTTTAAATCTAACTCACGCGTTTCACATATCTCATAAAGAATCACCTTTGCCTAATGTAGAATCACCACCAATAGAACAAAAGACGTAATGTTGTAATGATAACTTTTTCTAGCGTAAAATGTTAAGCTCCAAAAGGAGGAAAAGTGTAAATTTCCACGTGACAGCGGAACAAAATGTGCGGGTACTGAGGGACAGCAGATATTTTGAAGACTTGCCCAGCCATGCTGAGATTGCTGTTAAAGTAACTAAACTAACGAAGGTATGCTTGATTTTATTTTATTTAGTCCTGAATGTATTATTTACGTTGGGTCGGAATTGGACAACATGGTTGAAATAATAGAAACAAAATAATAATGTTGGCAGTTCATCACTGCGGTTTTAGAAAAACTTTTTTTATATTTTTTTCCTGCAAACCCTTAAGAACACAGCCCATCTTCAATTTCTTTTTTTTTTCAAAAGTAGAGATATATAATTTCTGTTAGAGGCATTTATTATCAATACAGAAAGTTTTGAGTAATAAAAAAAAACAACTTATATGGATAAATATTTTTATTTCATTACACTCTCCACTGACCTCTATGCGAAGTTCCAAGCGTCTAATACAGTTTTCGAAACACTTTTTCCAGTCCGTCGCAGACACCTGTTCTATGGCCTTCTCTAACGCTATTAGTGCATCTTACGGCGACGAAAACTATCTCGTTCACTTGATTTTTTAATTTAGGGAATAAAAAAACTTTTAGACTTGGGTTACCCTTCTGACCTGCCAGGAGGTTAACCCAAGTCTTTGACCGGTGTAAGCAGTTGAGCGGTTTGAGCGCTGATTAAGCGGGCGCGTTTTCGTGGCTAAGCAATAGTCCGCGAAGCCCGGTATTTGGGCGCTTGTTGCTTATTGCAGTGAAAACTTCTGGCAGGCATTTCGTAGTGTCGACTGACGATTTGTTTTTGGTAAATTTGATAAATTCAGGATTTGTCACTTGTCACAATGTCGTAAACTTTTCGAGACGAGCCTGCTTTAAACTTAATAATCATGTTACGGCACCATTCCACACGGGCCAGATTCTGAGCTTCGTTGAGGTTGTGCGGCACACAGCTCGAAACTTTCCTTCTCACTTGTAAATGCTTTCCGATCTAATCTGCAATATGTAATTAGTCTCTTCGTATATAATTCGTCTGTTTTCTTGAACTAAACTTGGCACTGCTAGCACGTTTTTTTCGGTAACAGCCGTCGAAGGACGACCATTTCTTTCTTCATCTCTTAAAGATAGACGACCTTGCTTGAACTATTTATGCCAATGGGAGATCGTTGCTTTAGAAGAGCCATCACTCATAAATGCAATTTGATGTCGATCAAAGGACTCGTCTGGTTTAAGATCACATTTGTAATCATAAAAAATCATCGCACGAAAATTTTCCCAATGCAACGCATTTTTCAATAAGATCCAAGCCTAAGCCTCAAGAAATTGTGGCGGGAAATTTGAAATAAAAAAAAATAGTATTTTATTTTTTTCAAATAATCACATTTTTTTTAATAATTATAATCAGCCAGGGCTACATACATATTTTTTTTCGCAATGATTTCTGAGTGTCCTGGTAGCTATACGAGTATATAATATGATTTATGTATCAAAAATTAACATCAAATAACCAAAATGTAGTTATAATATATTGTTACAGATATATAAATCAAAGTCGGGAGGAGTAGTTGCCTTGGATAAAGTCTCTTTAGATGTATTCAGGGGGGAAGTGACAGTACTTCTTGGGAACAGGGGCGCTGGGAAAAGTACTTTAATGGGTATCATTTCAGGTATACGTTGTTTTTGTTATTATCTATTGAGCATTTAAAGTTGTCATTTGTCCTCAATTTACCATTCATCAAGACGTTGGTTAACGAAAACGTAGGAATTAGGAACGAAGTTTAACTAATCGTGGTAGACGAGAATTTTTAAATGGTTTTTCTGAGTGGGAAAACAGCCTACATTATTCCTTATGTAGACAGCTACTTGGTAGTAAAATAATATCGGAATCGGTCCAGTCGTTTAGAAGATTACCAGGAACAAACAGATAGATAGACAAAAAAATAATTAAACTGGTTTTTAGACATAGGTATCATGCAAATAACCGTGTAAGCATGAAAAAACCTATAATCCTCCAACCCTTGCGAAAAAAATAATTAAACTGGTTTTTAGACATAGGTATCATGCAAATAACCGTGTAAGCATGAAAAAACCTATAATCCTCAAACCCTTGCGAAAAAAATATGTCCCAAACGACTTTGAAAAAACATTTGCTTAGAATATTTCTTACTCAACAGAAGTTACTGTAGCGGAACCGTGTGTCCTTCGCATCCGTCTTTCATATTTGCTCTTAGTCTGGTCGTAGGAATCTGCTTACATATATTGTTAACATAATTTTAGCACTATTTTTGTGTCCTTTCAAGAAATACTTTTTTTTTTTAATGTTATATAACTCTTGTATTTTTTTGTATTATTATTTTATTATTACTTTATATATTATTTACTTGGATTTTATATTCATTGTGTTGCAAGTTATCTGTTCGCGTTTAGTTTCTTACTGTTGGGGCAAATGTCAGTTCTTACGCATAATTGCGTAGAAGCAAGCTACTTTTGAATCCATGAACATACCAGATTCACTTCAAAAGCTGTTTAATCACATCAACACTCTTAACGCAACTTTGTATTAAGCTAAGAGTTGCCGTAAACTTCGAAGCTTGCCTGATCTCTGTTCGACACTTGGTCATTTGATTGTGTATATTATGTAGGTATATACATACTATACCTACTATACTATAATATATTGTACCATACAAATATAAAATAAAAATGTTATGAACCTCTATGGACAAAACGTGTAATGTAAATCTAGAGATAAGGCGGTCGGAAATTGAAGTGACTTTAAAATTGTAAAGATGAAACTCTGTACTCTGTAATTTTGTATAAAATTATAAACGTTCTCAGGTTGCCGCTGGAATTCCTAGTGTTTAATTATTGTGATAAGGTTCATATTTCAGGCATGCAGGCGCCCAGTTCTGGGAAAGTGTATATCAATGGCATGGACAATGTACTTAGGCTAAGCGAAGTAATGGATAATGTATCATTTTGTCCTAAACAAATAGTGCTGTACCGATACCTCACTGTTAGAGAGAACATAACATTCTTTGAGAAGGTTTGATTACATCTTTACTACGCTAGTAATAAAGCTGAAGTTAGTTTGTTTTGGATCCATTCTAGAACTATCATTCGGATTTCAAAAATGTTCTTGTATGTGATAACCACATTCTCGTGAAAGACCAAATGCTCCGGTCCTAACGGTCGAAGAAATTATATTCCTTTCACCGCATTTAGCAAAAATTGTTTACTGGAAGTTTGTTTCATTCTCTTATTGATTGAAATTTGAATAATTAATGTTTTTTAAAAATTGTCCTAACCTAATTTAAAAACATTACAGTTGAAAAAGTTTCAAGAAAAATCTATAGTTGATGATCTAATAACTCAGCTACAAATGACTGAATATGAAAATTTACTTCGCGATCAACTTCCTAGAGGATTGCGCAGATGCTTACAGGTAATAATAATAATAATAATGTAACTATTACGTTAATACAAAAAAAAAGTATAAAATATGTTTAAAAACAAAACATATCCTGTGTCGCGGGAGACTTCGCAAACTTACGAGTACATGAAACGGACACAAAGAGCACCCATACCTAGATATAAAGGAATACATTGCTTAAACTTCTGACTACGTTGTGTGTTGCTAGCTTGTGTCCTTATATAATCTATATATATATATAAGAGATTTCCACGTATATAGTCACTCATCACGATATCTCTGGAACCATTAGAGCTAAAGACATGAAATTTGGTAGGAATATTCTTTTCACCGAGTAGAGGTCATCTAAGAACGGATTTTAAGAAATAAAAAAAAAAAAAATTTTTAATAATGTAAATAGCAAAACAACGTTTGCAGGGTCAGCTACTTTTTTATATTGCAATTTACAAGAATAGTTAAAGATTATCTATTTTATAGGTGGCGTGTTGTATAGCCAGTGGTGCAGAAATATTAGTTTTCGACGAACCCACTCATAAAATGGGTATTGAAGCGAAACATCGAGTTTGGGATTTAATAATGGTAAGATTTGATTGATGTAAATTTTTGTGATGATAGGAAGTGTTAATATTTTAATAATATAATTTATATTTATTAATTTTCATATTATGATTATAATATTATTAATATAAAATACCTTTTATAACAGTTGTAGGATCGAGAATTGATCAGAATTGAATTGTGACCGAACTTTTATTACGAGAATGAGCCTTCTGTGTATTGCCCCCAGTTATGAGTATAGAGATCATTATTAAATATTTAAAACTAGCATCAATCGTATTTTATACTTAACTGTCTTTTGACCCTTTAACCCTTTTGGGATTAGTACTTCATCTTTAGATGAACAGTACTGAAAGCGGGAAATCCTAACAAATAAAATAAATATAAATTCGCATTTATAATTTTAGTTAGGATAATGATAAACCCTTATGGTAATCATTGCAATGATATAACGGTTACTATTTTAGTTCCTCCTTTTTGGAATATTCTAATAAAGAAATAACAGGTGCCCAAATAAATAACTGGGAAGTTTTTAAGACTCTAGTAGTAGTAAGTATATAATAGCTATAAATTAAACTTTCTAGAAACTCCGAGGACGAAAGACGGTAATTATGTCAACGCCAATTCTAGAAGAAGCATCTGCGCTAGGTGATCGTATTGTTATTCTAAATAAAGGGAAGGTGCGGTGCTTTGGCAGTCCAAGTTTTCTTAGTAATGCTATTGGTTAGTTAGATATAGTTTTTATTCCACTACAATACACGATCGTCTGTTTTGTAACGGTCGCTGTAGCCGTATCTTGTCAACCATTAAAACTCTAAATTTCATTCTACATTAGGCTATCATGTCGAGGAACTACTGAAAGCCTAATTGTAGAATGAAAAAGCCCTACGCATCACCCTTTACAGACGTGATGCGTAAGTGTTTAGAAAAGTACTTAAAGTAGTATATTTAAAAAAGCAGGTAGTGACCTCACAATAGGTTCGCGCTACCGCTTTTTACACACAAAAGTTTTGACATCAGTCGGATATGCGCACGCGGTGTCATAAACCAAAATAAGGAACTTTTTGGTCGGTTTGAATGCGCGTGGTGTCGCAGTGCTATGTATCTTTTTGTGTTATTGTTATTGACTAGTTGTGAATCGGACTAGAGAATACGGCCGTGACCAGTGGAGTACCGGACGCTGGTTACGGAAATACGGGTTGGGACTACACTGGGAACGTAGTTTATCAATATATTAATTTACAACACATTTAGATAGGGAAAAATTACACGGAAGACGGGTCAGCCTCACTGGTAAGTGGCTAAATTCTTCTCTTGTTCAACTTCGCGCTATCGCGGATAGTTTGGGTCGCGGGAGAATCCCAAACAGTGAGGCTTTTTTAAAAATTACTAAAACATTAAATGGGGAAATGCTTTCCTGTTTCCTCAAGTAAGTAAGTTCCTTCGTTTCCAGAACCTAAGTAGTGGTATCCCAGAGAGGCTGTAAGTTCGGCGGTAACATGTGTATTCTATGCTTAGATGAATTTTCTAGCCTACGTTTAATAAATAATTTCCATTTCTAGGTATTGGGTTAAATCTGACTATAAGACTACACGAACCAACTTATTTAGAAGATGTACAGAACCTTGTAGAACTCGCTATTCCTAATGTCAAGAGTCAGGTTTACGGGAGTAGAAGCGTCACTTTTATGCTGCCTCAAAAGGAGCGTGATTCATTCATCAACCTTATTGACACTTTGGAGCAGAAAAAAAGGGATCTTGGAATCACTACTATGGATGTTGGGGTATCTATGCAGGCAGTTTATTTAGAGTAAGGGCAGATTTCATCATATTAGGTCTTTACCTATAAGTTGGAGATTTGTATGAAAATTCCAAAATAAAAAAAAATGCAATTTTTTTTCAAAGTACCTACTGGCCCAAAGTATTTATACAATTTTGCCATTTTGATTGCAATTTGTTAATCGTGTTACCGTAGAAGTCTGCTGGACGGAAGGCGATGAAGTCATCGAAATCGTTTTGTATTGCCTCTCGTATGTTGATTTTTTTCCCCGTATTTCTTTTTAATAAATTAAAAGAAAATAGTTATCTGTTGGGGCAAGGTCCGTTGAGTACGGTGGGTGACAGAGAGCTTCCAGCTATAAGTCTTGTAGCTTTGCGATGGTCTCTTGTTGGATAGCGAGCTTCTCCATCACTGTTTGCAATTCTTGCCAAAAGACATCTGCCGTCACTGTTGTGTCATTCGGTAAGAAGCTGTGATGTACAAGTCCGGCACTGGTCCATCAGACAGTCCCCATCATCTTCCTATGGGTAATACTTTTTTTTTGCGCACTGATTTGTTGTTTCCGGATTCACCTACTGAGACGAACTCTTACTGTTGTTGTACAGGATCCACTTTTCATCGCAAGTAACATTTCGATTCAGAAATCCTTTGTCTCTTTGCCGATTCAATAGTGCTATGCATGCTTCGACGCATAAGTCTTACTAATGTTCGCTTAGTTCGTGCAGCACCCTATCCTTCACCTTATCTAGCTTTATAATTTTGTCGATTTGACGAAAGTGCTTCAATGTTGTTTTGACACTAACTCCAAAACCCGCAGCAGGCTCAGCCATAGATTGAGTTGAATCCGCTTCCACTATCGCCTTCAATTCATCGTTGCCGACTATAGTTTCAGATTTAAAACGATTGAACCATTAATGGACAGTGCTGAAAAGCAAAATCTGAAAATGATGGTTTTAAAAACCTTCAAATTCATAGGTAAAGACCTATTATTAAAGCTAACGCCTCGACTTTACATGCAGCAGCCCAGTTCTTACTTCCGTTTCTGGTACAAAGGTGTCTATTGCGTCGGCCTACTTCTGCCGTGATGGGAACTCCACTAATCACTTTAACGTTTTTCTACTTGCGCAGCCTCTTTGACTCCATTTACTGTTCGGAGGGACATAACCATCATCGTGTGTGCGCATCTAGCACTGGTAGCTACCGTGTCCTATAAATATCTAAAAAAATACTATTTCAATAGTATACTGATGCATTGGCTTCTACTAGTTCATACGATTGAGGTACTAGTGTACTACCCGATGTTCCTTGGCTCTTGCACATACTACAGTTTTTAAAACAGAAGCTTTTCCTGTGCTCATAATTTTAAAACTAAAAAGAATTAGGATGAGGAGGTTTTTTTATCTATACACATAAAATCCTTACTTAAATTTTGGCAACTGATAATTTTTATGTTGTGAGCACCCACTAAGAAGGGATTTTGTAAGTTTCACCGCTAAGGGGGTAAAATAAGGAACGAACGGTTGTATTTTCAAAGTTCGTCGTTTTACAAACTTAGGATAACTAATTCGAAAACTATACGAAGTAAGAAACAATTACGAAACGTTGACTGCACGGATGGCGTAGTGGTTTAAGCGGTCGCCACGCTGCTTCCTACTACGCCGCGTGTTGTGTTGTTGACGACACTTTGTTGTGATCCATAAATTGTTGTTCTGAGTCTGGGTGTTATTTGTGTCCGTTTCATGTATGTTTGTAAAGTCCCCCGCGACACAGGATATATTCTTAATGCAACTTGTCCTTAAAAAAAAAAATTACGCCAGCGAATCCGCAGATAGTTGCTAGGTACTAATAAAGAGTATGACCTGACCTCTTAATCAGATAGCACAGGTCGTGGTCAGCCAGATGGTGTGTGTGTGTGTGTGTGTGTGTGTGTGTGTGTGTGTGTGTGTGTGTGTGTGTGTGTGTGTGTGTGTGTGTGTGTGTGTGTGTGTGTGTGTGTGTGTGTGTGTGTGTGTGTGTGTGTGTGTGTGTGTGTGTGTGTGTGTGTGTGTGTGTGTGTGTGTGTGTGTGTGTGTGTGTGTGTGTGTGTGTGTGTGTGTGTGTGTGTGTGTGTGTGTGTGTGTGTGTGTGTGTGTGTGTGTGTGTGTGTGTGTGTGTGTGTGTGTGTGTGTGTGTGTGTGTGTGTGTGTGTGTGTGTGTGTGTGTGTGTGTGTGTGTGTGTGTGTGTGTGTGTGTGTGTGTGTGTGTGTGTGTGTGTGTGTGTGTGTGTGTGTGTGTGTTGGTTTAAAGTTAGTGAGGATTCTGAATTGCCAAAGTTATGAGAATTAAACTTGAAGTTTATAGTTCCTGTGTTATATTAAATATCTTCTTTTAAATTATTATAGGTTTATTGATCAATTCAATGACGAAGATGTTATTCTCGAAGCCCAATATGAGGGTAAGTAGTAAATCAACTGAGATACATCACATGACAATACGAATTCTGAATACAATAAATATAAAAAATGTGACACAAAAAAAGTAGACGGCTTTTGTTGCTCTTTAGTGCAGTTTTCCCATCCGAGAATCGACATCTCCTCTCATCTCGGATTCCAGCAGCTCTTATTCTAACTCTCTGGCTTAATTCGCTGTTCTCACCCTTAATTTACTTTCTACCTTCATCCCGTCTGAAAACGAAGCAACAAGGTTGGTGTCAGGCGGAGAGCCAGCAATAAACGAAACCAGGCTAGTAACCCTATGCAATGTTGCGTCGACCCCCAAATTAAATTTCAAATTTATTCTAAAATTATCAAGTTGAAAAGTTTGTATGGTTGAACAAGCTAATCTCGGGAATAACTGGTTCGAATTGAAAAATTATTTTAGTGTTGTATATATCATTTATCGAGGAAGGCTAACATAACGCTACGACTGATGGGAGCCGAGTATTAATAAAAATGTTGCAAAAATGGGTAAAATTTAATGTTTTTGTAAGATGCAGACGAACTAGTACGGGTCAGCCAGTATAATACAAAATCAAAAGTTTACAGAAGAACAAAAACAAGATTTAAAAATTCTAGTTCGCAATCTAAGTCAGCTAGGTTAAATTTGCGTGCTTTCTTTTGTAGTTAAAAGCATTTACTTTTAGTGTACATTTACATTTTTGAGGTAAATTTTATAGTTTTATAGTAATTCCTGAAAACCTGTGAGTTAAACGTTTTTTATTTCTTATAAATGCTAAAATTACATGATAACTGATACAATTCCAGTTAAATTATGTTGCACCTATAAGTTGTTTTGTTTGTAAGGTTTTTTTTCTTAAACGTTTGCTAAAATCATGATCTTTTAGATTCGGATTTTTATTAAGAAATTGAGGTTCGGATCTGTTAAGTTCATCTCTAATTATGTCAAATATTCACGATAAATATACCGAAAAATAAAATGTGAAGATTAATATAATAACACTTGAACCACGAAACGCGAAAAATAAGGTGTGCAGTAATTATTTATAGAGGTTCCATCTTGAAATACATCTATATTCAGGATATTTTTGTAAAAATCCTGGCAGTTATATCACTTACACACAATTTTGTGCAAAAATCATCTTCGAAACTATCTATAGAAGTTAAAAGAACGTAAAACGTATATCGATAACAAAAAACTGTAAATTATTAGTCGGCCATTACGCGCGCAATCATCGAGAGAGCGAGACGCATTACGTAACGCGGCAAAATAATATAAATATACAACATGTTTTGCGTTGTACAGGATTTCAATCCTGTACAAACCGTAGTGAGCGAAAGAAAAATAATCCAGGAATCATGTTTCATAGGTAAATGAATAATTCAATCACGTATTGCCAGATTTTATACATTAAAATCAATCTGCACTGCATTCTCTAAAACAAAAGAATTCATTATAAAACCCGTGTTGCAAATTTTCACGTGTGCAAATTACCCGAAATATAGGCAATTTTTGGTTTATTATTAAAATGAATTTATCAAGGTTATTTATTTAATAGTTACTACTAGGTATTTTATTTATTAATTCATTCACACATAAAGAGCTGTCGCCATTACGGTGCCTTAGTTTTGTCTTAGCGGGAGTTACATCCGACTTTTTTTACGTCCATGATTGATATATATTCATTTTAGGTTCAAATAAAATTGTTTTAGGTATATAATTACCATTTTTATGTATTTTAGTGATGTTTCTTCTTAAACACCTCTCCCTTATATTATTAAGCATAATTATAGAAAAAGAATACGATTGTGTAACCTTTAATGTTCGTCATAGATGCTATAATGGAAAAGCGCAAGGATTGGAGGGTAGTGCGAACCCAGTTTTTAATTTTAATAAAAAGGGTATATCATTATGTATGGATGAAGAAATACCAGTTTACAATGATGGTAAGTTTGAATTATTAACTGTAACTGTAGTCAAAGTTTTTTTTTATATTTTAGGGGGTAAAGGAGCAGATGGGTCACCTGATGGTAAGTGACAACTCTCGCCTATAGACAACTGCCAATTAAGAGACATAACCCTCCCCCCAGTGATGGGGGAGGTGTACTGGGTCTCCGGTAACCTCAGCGGTTCAAAGCAATATAAGAGTTGCCAAATACTGGTTTTGAATGAGTTCTTTTATCACTCCGGTCGAGCGGGCCAACACACGGAAGCATAGCTGTCAAGGCAGAACTTTTGCTACAATTGTAAATCTACAGTTGTAAGATAACCAACAACCACTTTCTTTTTGGTATTCGATCCTTAAAAATATACTATTTATGAATATACTTAATCTATTATTAAATATGTTTGAAGAGACCGCAATAATAATTTCAATCTAGATTTACTTAGATGTGTGGTTTTTCGAACCAGAGTCTCTTTTAAAATTTCGCTGCGAGCTTTTGGAACCGGTTTTCTTATTTTCTTTTATGTTATAAAGGGCGAATGAGCTATCGGGTCACCCGATGATGAGGGTCTACCGCTGCCCATGGACAGAATTAGTTTATATCCTCCGGTAACTACACTCACTCAGTGTAATCCAATGAAAGAAATACAAAACAACGGTTGTCTGTTGGACAGTGGTGGTACGCCGGTCGAGGCGGCCCATGCTTATATGCATGTATGAGCCGACTCCTACGGTCATTCTCTACTAAAAAAATCCTAATCTGATTGCTTTCCAGCAAGTCATCCTTCCAATAATCATACTATTCCTAGTAACACTTACTACAAACAGAAAATACGGGTATAGCAAATTTGGACCATTAAAAAGTGATGTCGACACATTGGTCTTCGACCTGGGACCTTACAAACGCAATGCTGTGAACGACGTCGTGGATAAATATGGAGTCTATCCACTGTTTTCCAAGAATGTCGAAAAAGGTATTAATATAATACATAATAGAGATGGAATATGTAATATTATGAGATACAATGACGGGCCTGTTGCTCTATGGTTAGCTAGTTAGCCTAGGTTAGCCCACCCAGGACAAACATTGTGCGATGAATACTATCATTTGTTCTGTGTCTGGGTTTCATTTATCTATGTTAATATGTATGTATTTAGAAATTTATATATATATATTTTGTTAAGACACTTATGTGCATATTAAAGAAGGCATTATTTAAGTTGATTTAGTCATTTCCTAGGAGAAATACAAGACACAAGAAGTTGACTCTTGCAACATTTGTCAATCAGTTTTCATCACTTATAGGTACAATACTTTGTATGAAATGCTAACTCGCAAAATGTGTCTTTTCTTTGTAATTGTGTAACTACATTCGTATTACAGATTCAACAATTAACAAATCTGTATCATACTGTATTAGAGCTCATCAGACTAGCTGGAGGCTGGTGGAGATTTAGTGATAAGATGTACCTACTCTTTATTTTTTCTCTTAAACGGTTTTTCAGACCTGGATCTTCTGCCCGTATCACCTGAAAAGACTGTAGGTCTAAAAATGTCTAGAACTACCACTAAAATGTTTCTCCCAGATGATCCTTACGCGTTAACAAAAAGCGTGAACATGTTCAGTAATTTATACTTAAATATACATATGCCTAAGGCAAATAAGACCATAATTACAAGATATAAGCCTATTAATAAACTGAACAATGTAGTCGAACCGAAACCTGTTTTTCTATGTGTAATTTGGGCAGTATGGGTTTCATTTTGTAAGTATATACAGTTATGTTTTTCTTTAAAATATTGTCAACATATTATAATATACCAAAAAAGCAACAGAAATCTCGTATGGTGAAAATAATATACCAAGATCGTAAGAATATGTTTCTGTTACTATGACTGCAAGAAGTAGTCAGTTGAATTCGATTCCAAAAAAACGTAGTTTATTGAATATTAACAAGTGAAGAAAATTCTTCGATTATCTTTTTTAAAGAATGGCCCAAGGAAGCACATGTCGTTTGGAATATTGAATATTTTTAAAAAGACGAAGCGCTGTATAGTTAAAAAGCATTTGAATACTATTCGAATATTTTTTGATCTGTCGTGGTACAAAATTTTATACAATGGCAGTTCAAATTATATTGGTCTTGGTAATGAAATAAGACATTCAAAACGGTCGAAATTCAACCGCAACGTGATCATTAGTTTGTTATTATTGAACGTATTAGGTAAAACTTAATCAATAGTTTTATAAAATTTATTAGAATTGTCTGTCAAACCTGTTTCTTGATTCTGTTCCAGGCTCCATGTTAACACTAGCTCCTTTTATTATGCTGGCGATAATGGAACGGAAAACTGGAACACGAGATATTCACATTATGGCAGGCTGTTCTGCTTTAGTCCATTGGTCTTCAAAGCTAATTGCATACATGTCAATTTATTTAGCTATAGTCCCCATTTCTGTGCTTCTAACAGCCCTGTGTTTTGATTTTGATAATACATTCAATCATTTGGAATTCCTTGGTAAGATTTTTTTTTGTGTTTTTTCGGAATTAGATCTTCTATGGCATAAAAAATTACTACCTGTAATTTTCAAGAACTGTTGAATTGACACAATAAGGGTTCTCAAAATGCTTCTAAATGTGATTGTAGAAACAAATTTATAACCAGGCAGTTACAGTGATTTTATTTTGTGCATGGATGACATGCTATTTGTCGTAGTAGCCATGCATGTAACATGGTAATAAATTGGCTATTATACAAATTTAAATAAATACATCACATGCCGTTCTATTTGTTTTTACCGCAGACGCTAAAGTCTTATCAAATCTAAAAGCTACGCTACATGAAGAACTTATAAAATTTTAAATGCAGTTTAAAACTGCAAGCATATTAATTTTACAACAATTTCAAATTGTTTCTTTTGGTTTTGAGTTGATAGTATTGGGTAACCTGAATTTATAAGTAGGATGTTCTGAATATTTACCTTTCGAGTCCTTAATCTTGTTCAGTTATTATTATTATTAGGTTCCTGTTTTGGAATAGGATTAGAATCAAAATCGTTACCTATAGCACGTATTGATCCGAGTGCATTCCTGTACATAAAAAAACCGCCATTTCTTAAACCTTAATTGCCACGATGATCGTCTTTATATTCGGATTTGAAATGGCATCTGTCAACTTCTTTTTTATTATTATCATAGAGGTAATTTAAAATATTATGGCGTATCATGTTCTATCTGTTTCAGGTGTTCTGTTCTTAATATTAATAGTGTTTGCAATAGCTTTTCTCGCGCATCTGCAGTTCTTAAGCTTCATTTTGCACGATTATGTGGCTATTGGCCAGATCTACTTCATGTCATTTGGTTTTGGTATGATTCTTTTTTCATTTATTACTTTGTGCTATTTATATTGACTTACATTATATTAGCCGCAGAACCGACAATCGTTGGGGAAAAGGAGTTCTTGAGTGGAGACCGCGTCTCGGCAAACGTAGTGTAGGATGCCCAAAGGCCAGGTGGAGTGACGATTTGATGGCTGGCAGAAGCTGGATGCGAGAATCCCAAAATGGATCTAAGTGGCGTGCAATGGGAGAGGCCTATGTCCAGCAGTGGACTGTGATAGGCTGATGATGATGATGAAGATATTGACTTAATGTGTGCAGATTCTTTGTCTATTACGCTGAGCCATAATGATATGAGCCATTATGACAACCTTAAACCCTGAGTATACTAAAAAACCTTATGAGTATACTAATAACAACCATTATTAACTGGGAAATATAAATGTGACAAGTCGCATTTTACATTTATTTTTAGAGAATTATGATGATACCTTGTAAGGGGAGGCCTATGTCCAGCAGTGGACTTTTAAAAGCTGTTGATGTGTGATGTGATAATGATGATACTTCTAAAAGTCTAAAACATTCTTCAAATAGCTCTCCCAATGACGCGACGCGTGCGCAAGCGTATTATCATAATGCAGTATCGATGGCCGACCCCTCCGCGCCCCTAACTTTCCTATAGTCATCACAAGATGGCGTTGTTCAAATGACGTCACTTTAAAATTGCGATGTTAAGACTCTCCGTAAGCGAATGACCTGGCGTGTTGCGCACTGATTTGTTAAGACCTTACTTCATAGGATCATTTCTATAGTAAGCTCTTCCCGAGACTTTCACACTATGTGAGTCCTCGCAAGCCACGATGAGGAGACGTGGCGCGGCACCCTGAGCGTGAGGCTGGCATTAGTTTAACAACTAATAGCCTTCGATGATCGTTCACTCCCTTTCACGGGGGAGGGTGGGGTGTTGTCGCTGTCTGAGTGGTAATTATTTTAAAACGGCTATTAATGCTAAGTCTTTATCTTAAGGATGTAGCTTCTTTCTTCTACTTCGATATATAAGCAAAATTTGTCTTTTTCTGTTTATTATTTCTTCCCTAAGATTATTTAAATACCATTTGTTAGGATGAGTGTGGGTGAATTGTATAATTACTGCTTCGTCTTGGTAAACATATTATGTATATTGTTTACCAACAAATTAGACGCAATCTTTTATTTTCTTCTTTAATTTAAGAATGTGGAAGTGAAGTAGTATCGTAAATACTATACTTGTGCAGTTAAAGGAAGTAACTATTTTTAGCATTTTCTATACAGCGCACTCTAGCGATATATTCTCGTACTATAAAATTTTTGCTATGCGTTATTGTGCACGGTTATGAATATTACAGATGACGTTGCGATTAGTAATCAAGCATCGTTGTTTTTCTCGTAGACCAGCTAGGGTTACGAACGGGTGACTTCTCCAGGCCTACTAGTAATAAAGGAAGTAACTTTTTTAGAATTTTGCATACAGCGCCCTCTAGTAATACTTACTCGTACTATAGGATTTCGATATGTAATATTGGCTGTCAATCTTGCAGATTGCGCTGCGATTGGTAATCTTTTGTGACGTATTCGTGCACGAACTGTAACGAAACCTACAACCTCGATCAAATTATTGCCGATAAATTATGAAACTGTCATTTTATCCGTATTTACCGACTGGTTTCTAAATCTCTCTCTTTCATTTTTTCAGGTATCATAGTTCCCGTTTTCTTGACAGCTCTAGAATTTCAAGGAATCGAAAATGAAGCGATCAGAATTACATTCATTATAATGATGGTCTTGGTGTATATAAGCCCTTTATTCGTTTTTACTGACAGTTTATTTCAACTTGTCTTATTGGCGAGGCTGAACACCTACTGTGTGTTAAATAAACATCTATGTCCAAATTTAATTGTAAACAACGAGAATTTTTCTTCAAAGATTTGTTGTGGTAAGTTTGTGTTTCACAATTTGTTTTTAGTCCTGTACAATACCTCTGTGCTGTGTGAACTCTTTGGCTATAATTGGATGAATATATTTTAGTAGAATTCCTTTTAGCATTAATAGTTTTCATTTGTTTTATCGTGCCGGGGCCAAATGAGGAGACAGGTCAACACAGGGCGAGTTTATTTTACATCTACTCGAACGGGCAGGTGACCGCGTTCGGCGCTTGGATTGGCCCTCACTGAAATCTTAACCAATCGCTACTATGAACGCGATCGCTGTCGACAGTGAATTGATGTGAAATCTCACTTGGCCCTCTGATCTTAGTTGACTACCGCCGTCTATTGAAAACTGCAACTCCCTTGATGCGTTGATGTCTGAAAGACGTGGTGCGAGGATTTTAGTTATTTTAACATTTAAAACTGCATTGTGAATTTGTTTGTAGAAACCTTTTTATTAAAGCGAAATATATATGCGTATATCGTGTGTAAAAAGTTACTCCAGAACGGCTGGACCAATTTAAATGCCATTCTCAGGTAATTAGATTAGTCCAGCGTGATACTGTGTAGTTTGGTAGCGATCTAACGATTTTTTGTCAATTTTAACTACCAAAGCCATGCAACGCGGACACCGGTCCAGGTAGATATCTGGACATCTAAGTCATATATGTAGATGTCCAGATATCCACCTGGACCGATCTCCTTTTTTCCAATGTCAAAGCATCATTTCTAACGAGAGGCCTATGTCTAGCAGTAGACTACTAAAGACTGTTGAGGATCGGTCGGCTGTGGAGGACCGGTTGGCTAGACGGTTTGGCATAGAGTTTGTTTCAAGTTTTCCTTCTCTTTTTTGTATACACACATATATTATGTGTGTATTTATATAACTAGAGAAGAATGTAACCTTATAAAAGTTTTACTGTTTTCATTTAAATTGATTCTTAATTTCAAGATATTACTTTGGTCAGCGTTTCGGCTTTATTAATTTAACATCATAACGATTAAATCAACTCTACATAAATATAATAAATTTTTTTTTGTGATTTTTATTTTATATTAATTTACCTTCGTTTTTCTGTTAAATTGCTTATTACAAATTATTTATTTTAAAATAAACGTGTAAAACATGGACAAAATCTGAAATAAATATTTTTATTAATCTCTTCATGTATTTTATACACATCGTAATTATATTTTTAAACACACACTTTATAATTAAGAAAAAAACATTAAAAAAAAATAGTAGACCACCGACTTCGGGTACAGGGACCAAGACACCGATGGTTAGGTCTCCAAAGAGAGGAGGAACCTCCTCACTATACGGGCCGTGTCAAGATCTGCCTTCTGCATCAATATTTATCACACATTTAACAATTAACTATTTTCAGATTCATCATCCAAAGTTCCGTACTCATATTTTGATGCAACGTCAACAATCAACATAATAGTTCTAGTTATGCACGTTTTTCTTTACATGGTATGTACTGAAACCTTTTTTTTTACTAACAGATAGTAAACATACTGCTTCGATGGCGCAGTGGTAGTTTATGCTACTGCTGTGCTGAGGCCTCGGGTTAAATGTTTGTATGATCTGCAAATATTTTTTTAGGAGTTTGGGTGTTTTCTATATACATAGTATGTATTTATAAAAAAAGTATGTAAGTATTCTATCAGTCATTCTAACTTTCATAGTACAAGCTCTGCTTAGTTTGAAACTAGATGGCGTTGTGTGTCAGATGTCTGAAATACTTATATATTTTTAATACAATAGATAAATAACATCAAACACACAACAAATAATCATGCTTTTCACACAATATTTGTCCTTGGTGGGTCCACTAGACGGGTCCGTTTGTCAGAGTCCCTGTTAGGCTCGATATCATAGTTTATTTATTTTAAGAAATATATATTTTTATGTTTTATTTTATCATGACAGACTATTGTAATACTCTTACAAAAAAGGATAATTCAGTACTGGATTGAACGTATATTATTTTACAAATATAAGCCTCCGCAACAAAGATATTTCAATAATGGAGTTGAAATGGAGAAAGCTGTGGTTCGGGACAGATATCTAATAAGTATGTTTTTTTTTTCATTTTTAATTAGGCAATGTTTGGTTTTACGGTTTGGTACTGTTGGGTAAATATTTCACTAGGCACTCTTTTATTATTATTGGCATTTAACTTAAACAAATATGTTTGACTCGACAGTCTGAAAAAATGTCCGTTCCTCTTTAAAAATATTGTATGTTAAACATTTCATTATGTTGATTGTGAAGACTTAAATATTATGGTATTATTATTTTTTTAGAACAATTCAGCAATGAGGTACTTATGGCTCACAAATTATACAAAACATTTTACCGATGTATGAAAAAGTTACAAGCTGATGACGCTATACAAGGGATAACGTTTCTAGCTAAAAAAGGTGGGTAATGTTTATATTTTTATTTTACCGGGCATGACAGTGAAGTGGTATGATGTTCCGTGACATATTAGTTTATTGAAACTTTAGTCAAGAAATCCCCAAGAATCCAGCCAGACATTGGCCACCCTGTAAACATTCTACAGTCACATAATAGCATGTAGTGGGCCTTGCCCCTATTGAGTTAAACAACTAGAGAAGTAAACCTCGTTACCAACCTCAAAAGTCAACCTCATTACACAAACATATATATACACACACGTACACAATCACACACTTGAATGGTTTCGAGCTGACAACACTCAGTTGATGGGCTGCAGCTGAAAACCAGCGTTGGAAGGTACCTGTGGTCATCCAACAGTATGCTGAGCTGCAGACCTATTGGCACTTTTTGTAAAGAATGTTGTATGTGCCAATAAATTTTCTTTTTTTTTTCTTACCACATGTCGAAACAGGTGTTGTATGACTGTATCAAAGTTTCTAGTGCTGCGAGCTTGGATGGAGGTGAACGCTTGTTCCTAAAAAAGGAAATCGATCCAATCCTATCATTTACCAGTCCTACTGTACAAATATTCCCGCATAACCCAGAAGGCGATGCGCCGAGGAATCTGCGGAACAGACGGACAAGCACCTATCCCAACATAACCTAGGATGTCCTATACCTAAAGCAGCTATCCCCCCATAGCCTAGGGAGCTCGGTGATGATGCACCGAGGAATTACGTGGAAATAGCTGCTTGCCTGCTTGTATCATCAGCAGTGTTTCCGTTGAACAAAAATAAAAGTCACTAGCTAGTTTCTAAAATTCCTCTAGATTAAAAAAAACAGTTTCCCTGAAATCCGCTAGAAGTCGCTAATCGGAAAATCGTAAAAAACTTAACCACCAATACATAGCTGTAATCGTAATGCCCGGCAATATACAAAGCTAAGGTACACAACTCTTTCTGAAGGCTTCCAAATCTTCCCTGGTCCTGTGTATAATGTCATTTGCTATTTTTATTAAATCAATTGCATAGGTTAGAGACGTTTATAGAAGTTAAAACATTAAACTTTTAATGACGTGCCCTGATTCATCTTGCAAAGCTGAACGCAGTTTTAGTGCATTACGTCGGCAAAAACATACTTGCGAAGTACCATGAATACAAAACAGATTAAGTAATTTAGCGATATGCCACGTTTTTAAATGTATTAGAAATTGTAGAGTTAGCTCAAGAATTCATAAATGTAAACAATTTTAGAAAGACTATGTTTGGTAATTTTTAAGAAAAATGTAAATCAAAATAAATTGTAATTAAAATGTTGTTGCTGAAGATTATTTAGTAAGCCTTACAATACTTTGAAATACGTCAATAAAGTGTTTTGATGACCTTTTTATAGTCCTCATAAAAAAGATTTTGGACACCCCCCACTTTTTGAGGGTTGTTGCGTCCCTAGTGGACAAGACACGCGTGGATAAACATTGAAAATATAATTGATGAAGAGCTTTTGGTAGACGTATCACAGAAGAGATAGATTTGGGTGACAGTAGTATACATACATTAACAATAATTTAGATACTTGTTCAGAATTTACTGAAAAATAATATATTATACCATGTGTTTAAGGTGAATGTATAGGCGTTTTGGGTCCAACTGGAGCTGGTAAATCGACACTTCTGCGATTGTTAGCTGGATGTCTACCGATGACTAGGGGTGACAGCTGGGTCGCCGGTTACAACATAAGAGCGGATAGAAATAAGGTACAATATACCTTCTTAACACATGTGTAATCTTCTAAAGATTAGTGTTATCTTATGCTTTTATCGAATATGCGTTCTCTTATAATTTTATCATTTTATCTAAGAATCAAGTATTTGGTTGTTTGTAGATGCTTGCGTTATGCTATATACAATGGAGAAAGAATCTGTCTCCCAGTAGTATAATATCTAAAGGTATACCTATTTAAGATAATTGTTTCGTGATTATTTCTCAATACGAGAATGTATCTCTCCATAACTATAGCATCGTACATGGCATTGTTTTATGCTTCGAACTGTTTGGAACTCTCAGACAAATATTTAATTAACCGTTTGAAAAAAATCTTAATTAAACATTTTTTTTTAGTGTCAGTCTAAAATAGAAAAAAAACATTGACACATTTAAATGCGGAAGTATTTAGACATACCAATCTTATTTTAAAGGTTTAGAAGCATTTCTAATAACCTTAAAATATTCAACTTGCTGTGGTCTACTGGTTTATAGAAAAAAAAAATATTGTTTCACATATAATAAAATAAAATTTCTTTCTTATCATTGAAGTCTCCCGATTATTATTCGTGTTTATAGTGCTCCTACTGAGGTTTCTAGGTACACAGGCTTACAGGCAACTGATTAAGAGTACATAATACTAATATACAGTACACCATTACGATCAGTTGCCTCGGACAGACAGTTCGAGATACAAGCATGCGATCCTGATTTAAAAGAGCTGTTGCTTACACATCCGTTTAAGAAACATTCCTTTCCTACCATCTTACCAATTTATTCTTTCATTTTAGACTCCCAATTTTCCCATCTAATTTCTAAAGTGCCTAGTTAACGGTAGTAGACTTGCCTCCTATAACTTAAGCAAGATTAAAATTCATCATTATCATCTTTTCATAGTCCACTGCTGGACATAGGCCTCTCCTTAGAAAGGAGGTTTTGGCCTACTATATCACACTGACCAGAGGGGTTAATATAGAGTTTGTTTGAAATTTTCCTTCTCTTTGCAGTGCTGTTGTCCTGCGTAGTTTATTTACCTTTACGGCTCTTACGACACCTACTTGATAAATAGGGGTGGTGACCCTCCATATTCTTAATCCGTCATCACACGTATACGGACGATCAGGATTAAAATTATATTCGGCAAAATTTAGGCGTTTAATGAGCCTCTGCTTTGCCTTTGTGAATTTAGGCGTATGTATTTATATGAATATCTTTTTCTGTTTCAGTACTTACGTAAAGTGGGGCTAGTTACAACCACGGGGCAACTTGACAGATTTTATACGGGTTATGAGAATCTTGTCCTCATCTGTCAACTAGCTGGATATTCCAAAATAGCAGCAGAAAGATTATCAACGTTGCTTTTACAAGATTTGGGTAATTCGTACTACTCTGATTCACTGATGCATTATTCATCATCATCATCAACAGCCTTTAATAGTCCACTGCTGGACATAAGCCTCTCCTGAAAAAGGAGGTTTTAGCCTACTATACCACGCTGGCCAGACGGGTTGGTAAAGGGTTTGTGTCAAGTTTTCCTTCTCTCTGCAGTGCTGTTGTCCTGCTTAGTTGTCCCTTAGCCGGCTCTTACGACACCCACGGGATGAATTGGGGTGGTGACAATTTGTATTCTTAATCCGTCACTACACGGACCACGGATGCATTATTATTAAGTTTGAAAAAAAAACGATTTAATAGATGTATCGCTATTTCCTGATAACAACCAGTAGGTACTAGTTAGAGTTATGCGACTCTCACGTTCTCGAGTCTAAGTAATAAACTTACACTCTCCAAGCAAACCGTACAATACTCCTTTTACTTCCTAACTCTCCATTTTTGACTTCAGTTCCCTTTAAATTATCAGGGTTAATTTGGTAAATCTTTTCTTGCGGCTTTTTTGACTCGTACTTGGAGGGATCATTTTGGTATAGAATAAAAGTCATTTGGGCTTTTCAGCTTTTTATCTTAAACGGCTTTAGAGTATAATTAATATATGGTGATTTTTTCCCTCGGTCGTCCGACCTTTGCAGAAGCGTCTTGGAAACGGACAGAACGAAATAGGATAAAAAAAAACTTTACTTCAAGCATTTTGTGTAGTATTTGTAATATAATGAAGTATAAAGAGAAACATGTCACGTCTGTTTAGTTGTGGGGTGTTTTTATGGAATAAATCTCTAAAAACGTCATAAAAGAAGTCATCTCCCCGAATGTTAAGTTTTTGGCATTTATAGCCACAGCTTCAAGTTGCGGAATTAGTTACATAAATTTCTACCCCTATTTTATAATAACCCCATTTAATCACTTGGGGGTTGTATTGGTATTGGTTGTGGGCTTCGATTTCCGGTTTTAGACTCGAGAGCGGTCCTTTATACGTCAAAAGGGGTCTCGTCATAAGGGGTTGTTTCTGTTTATAGGGGTAGTTTTGAAAAGTAGATTTTTTTTTTTGGTAGTGGATATAATAATACTGAGAGTTTAGAGTTTGAATCGATAAGTTAAAAAAATAGTTCCCCATACAAACTTGCCCCCTTTTTTGACAGTAGTTAAAAAAAATTGTAACAACGATTTTTATTACTTTTAATATAGAGCTTTTACTTGACTTGGTTATACCGTTGCAGTTGTGTTTCTACTAATACATCCTAAATTGAATGCATTTAACAAGTACCTCTGATGTATACGTTTGGCACATTATCCATAAAAGTGCCTCGAACAGAAGCCGTAGTGTCCAAGAATAAATGTAAATTAAAACACGTTTACTAACACACTTTCTATATTCCAGGTCTAAACTCTTACGCTAACACCTTAGTTGACAAGTACAATCACAGCTGTTGGCAGCGTCTCTTGTTATGTGTAGTGTATGTTCTGGATCCTGCAGTAGCGTTTATAGACGAGCCAATGGTAAATGTGGAACATGGGACAAGGTCTATTATCGCGAGAGCCATAAGGAAAATCGTGGCTAGTGGAACAACTTGTATTGTGGCGGAGTCTAGGTAACATTTAAAAGGGAAAAGAGAAAAGATTTTTATATTAAATTTATGTATATTTATGCACATTCATATATGTATATTTATACACAATATATAAACATGTGTGTTTATATATTGTGTATACTTCTGGATTTCTATTCATCATTAACAGCCTTTAATAGTCCACTGGTGGACATAAGCCTCTCCTGAGAAAGGAGGTTTTGGCCTACTATACTACGCTGGCCAGACGGGTTGGTATAGGGTTTGTGTCAATCAGAGGGTATTGGCGGTCAGAGCCATACGCGGTTACCGCACCGTTTCGACGGAGGTGGCTTGCGCGTTGGCCGGAACTCCCCCGTGGGATTTGGAGGCGGAAGTGCTCGCCGAAGTTTATCGGCGAGTGGCTGACTCCCGGGCGGAGAGCGGATTTTGCCCTCCGCCCGAAGACGAGTGGCGCGAAGCCGCTCGCCGAGCCACGATGGCTAGTTGGTCGTTCCGGCTGGATACTCCACGCGCTGGCTTCGCCGCCGTGGAGGCTCTCCAGTCGGTCATCGCCGTGTGGGCAGGGCGGCAGCACGGGACCCTTGCCTTCCGGCTGACGCAGGTGCTTTCCGGGCACGGTTGCTTCGGAAAGTACCTGCGCTCGGTCGCTAGGAGGGAACTGAGTCCCGCCTGCCACCACTGCGACTGCAGTGAGGACTCGGCCTGCTGGGCCGAGTCCTCACTGCATGATGGCGGTCTGCCCCGCATGGGCGACGCATCGCCGGGCCCTCACTGCAGTCATCGGAGTGGATCTCTCGCTACTGGCCGTAGTACGCTCTATGGCCGGTAGTGACAGTTGTTATACCGCGGTCGCAACCTTGTGCGAGGAAGTAATCTCGCAGAAGGAGGCGGCGGAGAAGGCCCGGGAGGACGACCTCCACTCGGACCCGATCCGCCGCCGGCGAACCGGGCGGCGGAGGCGCGCTTTCCTGCGGCTCATGCCGCCCTGAGTGTGGCCGCGGGTGGACGGGGTGGGTTTCCCCTCCACCCGCATTAGTTTGGCCAGCCGCGAGGGGGCGGCGTCCGCGTGTGCACCTACCGTATCATGTTTCTACATCACCTGAAGGTTGACATGGAGAGAATGCCCCATGGCATTAAGTCTGTCTTTGTACAACATGTGCATTCACTTTTAAATAAATAAATAAAAGATATTCAATTCAACAGTGATCTGGTTACCACAGCACAGGCTCTGCCTAGTATGGGATTGGAATGCCGTGTGTTATGTGTAAAGTTATTATTATTATCTGTGTCTTTCATTGAAACAATTTCCATTGGGGGCCTGTTGGTCTATTTGTTAGTGACCCTGACTGCTAAGCCGGAGGTCGTGGGTTCGATGCCCACCCAGGACAAATATTTGTGTGATGAGCACGATTGTTTGTTCTGTGTCTGGGTGTAATTTATCATGTTCGTATTTAGTTATATAAAAGTAGGTTTATCAGCAGTCTGGTTACCATACTCGTAGTACAGGCTCTGCCTAGTTTGGTGTCAGACAGCCGTGTGTGAGATGTGTCAGGAAGTGATTATTATTATGGCATGATTGCGTTACAAACAAGGTGATTTCTATGACTTGAAAGTTTTGATCTTTTCGTTTATTTTCACTTTTCGCTTAATTTTATATTTTGTTAATTAAAGTTTCGAATAGAGAGTAGTTTCTTGGTTGAAATGTATGTACCTGTATTTCGAGGCACTGGTAACACTAGTTTACACGGTTTTCATACCCCAGCTGAAAGTTGTTATTTTGTTATTCATTTAGGTAGAATTATCTCAAAAAAATAATAAAAAAATTCGGTCACGTCTGGTTTAAGAAATATTTATTAACTTAACTGAAATACATAATTTTGGTATTAATACTAAAAAAAAATTAAAAATGACTAATTTTTGCCTTCTTTTTATAGCTATTTGAATCAGTTTCTCTTATAATGGACCAACAGTAATCTCCTAACATGTTTTCATCCCAAAATCCTTGATGTCGTTCTTCAAAAACCTTTAAATCTTGGTGAAAACGTTCCCCTTGTTCGTCACTCATACTTCCTAAGTTTTCAGGGAAAAAACTTAGATGCGAGTGCAGAAAATGAATCTTTAATGACATGTTTACTCCCATCTTTTGAAAATTTTCCAATAAATCGGTAACAATTTCTTTGTAATTTTCACTTTTTTTGCTTCCCAAAAAATTTTCCACAACCATTTTGAATGACTTCCAAGCAGATTTTTCATTACAGATAAAAGGCTTTCAAACTGAGAATCTTTCATAATTTTACGGATTTGTGGGCCAACAAATATACCCTCTTTCAGTTTTCCTTCTGTAATGTTTGGAAAGATTTTTTGTAAATACCGGAAAGCATCACTGTTTTTGTCAAGCGCCTTCACAAAATTTTTCATGAGCCCCAATTTGATGTGTAAAGGGGGTAGAGTGACGTTATTGGGATCTACCAACAGCTCGTGTTTAATGTTCATTTTGCCCGGAATATACTCATTCCGAATAGGCCATTCATTTCTTACATAATGATGTTTTTGTTTTTCATGATTCCTAGGTTCTCTCCATAGCATTGGTGAACCAAATGGAAGGTGAACGTTTTCTCCTGATGACCACTGGAGTAAGACGATTCTACAGCTTTCGCAAAACACATAAGGAACCCACTTTTTATCTTGATTTGCAACGGGAAATCCAAAATAATGAAGATATGCACTTTTTAACGAATCTACGATGGGTCTTCTCTTTTTTGAAAATATAAACTGTCCACAAACATAACAAAAACGATCAGAACTTTGTTTACACTTTCTACTCGACATTTTAAATCAATCCGAAACAAGATAATTGTCGTTTGAAGCGAACGAATAAACAATAAACTGTAGTCACCACGTTAGGTAGTTAAAAAATAAACATTTGACTGCAGGAAGAAATTGTGACGTGATAAAATATTTTTGCTAACACTTTTAGATTTAAGGAAGGTAGATTAACATATTTATATACATTTATTTTGGGGTATAAAAAAAAAGTTCAATTTTGTAAACTAGTGTAATTATTTAATATCAAATGCAATTTTCCTATTTTCCAACTGTGGTTACCTAAAATATAAGAATCTAAGCACCACTAGCAGCTTTCTGCAATTAAATTTAATTCCATTACAGTTTAGATTGGTATCAAATGGAGTCAGTTTATAACCGCTTAGCAATCCTATATGGTGGCCAGTTTGCAGCCATAGGACAAGCGAGTGATGTTGTCGGTAACCTTACAACTGGCTATTCTGTGCATATTAAACTTAAAGTTCCTAAAGCATATTGGTGTTCTCAAGCGAGCTTAGCAGAATCCTTAACTGAAGGTAAGTTTTTCTTTTTTTTTGCTTTTGATGGTATGGGGCCAAAGAGCAGATGGGTTACTCTGTGGCAAGTCACTACCACCGCCCATTAATACTGACTAAACTCAAGAGTCAAGTGCGTTACCATTCCTTTAGCACCCCTCTTCCAAATTAGTGTTACTACCGGTTTTAAAAAACCAAAAAGTGCTTAACACCGGTTTTCCGGTTTCTGTAAGACTTCAGTGTCGCTGGGGTCGAGCCATATGTGGTAAAGTAGGGCTTTCTCATATATATACTATACATACATTCATTTACGGTAGCAAAAGAGAAAAAAAGAGGCACTCACGTAATAGGATCAAGTCTGTTCCCATCGTCCGGGATATATACGAATTAAAGATGAGTAAAATGGAAACATATCGAGTAGAAAAAGTAGGTAAGAAGGAAAGACATGTTCGAAATCTGATCTGTAAGTCCGATTTAGAAAATTTACAGGATTAGAATGCGACTGCACGGATGGCTTAGTGGTTTAAGCGGTCACCACGCCGCTTCTTACTACCCCGACCCTGTTGTGTGTTGAAACTCCACATGGGACGACACTTTGTGTGATCCACAAATTGTTGTTCTGAGTCTGGGTGTTTCACGTATGTTTGTAAAGTACTCAGCGACACAGGATATATTCCTAACGCGAAAGGTAAAAAAAAAACAATATGTGGTATATTGTTTTTTTTTGCTACTGTACTGCATTGCTGTACATTTGATGAAATTGCCAGTATCTTCGGGAAACGGTTTCTGGAATCTCAATTAAGACCTTTTCACCAGCAAAATCTTTAAGTTACTTGTTATTAGATTAATCAAAATCCTAATATACCCTGTTACAGCAAATATAGATATTGATCGTGCAAACGAAATACAGGCCCTTAAAGATGACTTCAAAACAGAGTTTGTTAGCAGTGTTGTTGCCCAAGAAAATGTGGTATGGTGTTAAACTATTAAGCATAGTTTAATATAAAAGACTCATATTTAAAAATTAAATAGCATTAGCATTCATAATCTTCTTACACTTTTCCCAGAGAGTTTTCTTTTTCCATTCTCTTCTATCACTTGTCAGTTCACTGCTTACTTCCTTTCCACCCATATCCTTCATGCAGTTCATTCATCTTTTCTTTGCTTGTCCTCTACTCTTATACCCTTCACCTTCCTTACACAAAACTGTCCTCACTATATTTTGCTCAGCCCTAAGCCATGTTCATACAAGGATAACCTGCTGCTTCTCAACTTTTCATCCAGTAGTGTTACTTTCAGAATTTCTCTAACGTATTTCTTCCATTGTCCATCGTAGTCACACTATACCTCCATCTTTACATTCACATTTCAGCTAACTTGCAAGCGTCTCTCATTTGTTTTCTTAGTTGGCCAAACAATAACAGTGATCAAAATTAAAACTCAGCAAGAATGAATTATATAATTGAAATTCAATATGCATCGTCAGTAGCCCATTATCATATTTAATTGTTTGCCTGTTCCACGTTGTTGCCTGTTTCCATTTTCTCACATAGTGTTCGCAGTTACATCTGTTAGTAACTACAAGGTGAAGGTTGCCAGAGTATAAAAAAATCTATGCATTCACTTAGTAGATTTTAATTAAGTACTTGACGCTAGTTTCTTTATTTACATTGCAGTGTATGTTATTTTTCTACATTGAAAATGAAGAACTTGCATTGTCATACAATGAATTGTATTCGAAACTTCATAAATTAATAGACAAGCACAAAAATATAATGGAAAGTTACACTTTTAACAAAACAACTATTGAAGAAGTCTTCTGGCGAATACCTTATCTCATTGACCATTTTACGTAACTTGTTTGTTGTGGGTTCGAAATACTTTTTATATTTTACTAGTTTTCGATCGAGGCTCCGCTAGCGTGTATGTTCGTTATCGCGGTAAAAAGTAGCCTATGTCCTTCCTCAAGAATCAAACTATATCCAAACTAAATCTCATCTAAATCGATTCAGTGGTTAAAGCGTGAAGAAGTAACAGAGAGACAGACTGATTAGTATGGATTTATGATTTGAAATAGATTGTTAAGATGTTTACTTTAATTTTTTTTAATCATGTTGGTGAATAAAATTCGGTTTAGAAGAATTGTGATTGTCGTTTGTTTTATTATGTAACATTTATAGTTTTAAATTGTTTGTTATTGATGTTTACGTATGATGCATATTGACATTGTTATTTGGAATCTGTTTATTTAATTTTTGGATATAATTGATTTATAATCGAGCTAGGTTTGTAATTTCTCAACAAGACCTGAAGAGGTATTAGCTCTTGAAAATTTAGCCGTTTTTGCAGTTTATTTATTACATTAATATTTTATTTGTATGGTCGTTTTATTTATTTTATATAAATATGATAAATTTTTATGATGTGCTTTTATGATTTTTTATTTATAATTCTTAATACATTTAAAGAAAGGTTTTTTACTGTCACTAAGTTAAATTCAATCTTAATATTAATTCATTTCTGAAAAAAGATATTAATAAGGAATCATATTTTAAATTCAACACCAACGGAAATCCTACTCTACCAGTCCAGCTGATCACAGGTACTGGGTGGTCTACATGTGTTTTTAGGAAGGTGCAGCTACAAAATAAATTGAAAAACAATTTCAATAACACGTAATAAAAGACCAAACTATTACAGAGTTTGAGGTATATTTTTTTAAAAATCTAGTAGGTTTTGGTGATCTTGCCTTGTAAGTATTTATGCCACATTTATTTTTAGCCACATAAAATGGCTGGTAAAAAGAAAATTGAATTATTTGTGGAAGTACACAACGAAAAAGAGTTTGATCATATTATTAGACAGAATGCACATCAGCTGATTTGTAAGTACATATTTTTTATTTAAAATAGTTATGTTTATGGTCATTATTCTGCTCTGTCAGAGATTATGTTACTACATTAATAGAAGTAGCTATAGTCAATATACATTGTTATAATATTATGGTTATTAATAAGAAAATAAGAACAATAGATGACCTTGAAATCTCCTTCTTATCTTTAATTGTTAATAAAGTGACTGACGTATTATGCCTATTCAGTATATGGCAACGAATAGGTAATGTTACATACTCACACTAGTCATATCAAGATGTTATTGGAGCTTATTTACACCAGTTTTTCTCTTTATGGTATAAGGGGGCAAAAGAGCAGACGGGTCACCTGATGGTAAGCAACTACCGCCGCCCATGGACATCTGCAACTCAAAAGTCACAATTGTGTTGCTGCCCTTGGAGTCCCTCCCGCGCCAGTCAGCGGGAGAGGGGATTTGGGCTCCGGTAACCTCACTCACTCAGTGAAAGGCAACGAAAGAATTGCTTAACACCGGTTTTCTGTGAGGCCGTGGTATCACGGTCGAGCCGGGCCCATTCGTGCCGATGCATGGCTCTACCACGGTAAAATCGTAATGCGTTTGTGTGAATTGAAAATGTCCGTCTTTCCTAATTGGTAAAATGTTGAAGTTAGCCTTTTTCTGTTTGTAGACATAAATTGATGTCAAAAAGAAGTAATGTTTGTGAGTTTGGAATCCAAACTTTGGATATTGGTACAAGTGATTAGGACAAGTTCTAAAATTATTGACACACTTTAGGAAATACTAATACTAACTGCTACGAAACAACGTTTATGTTATCAAAGGCCAGAAAAAAATATTCGTCTTTATCGAAATTATATAAATTAGAAATGGAATAAGTATTAGCATTAGTTTCTTATAAAAAGGTAAAAAAAAAGCTTTTAAAACACTATGGCAAATCTCTGGTATTTCTGACCCGCACGTAATCCTCTAAAAGCAAGATGTGACCGAGGATCAATACGAAGGATTAGTTTGTGGTGTAGGTAATCATTCAGTAACTTAAAATATATTTTTTCGATAGATTTCTGACAAATCTAAATCTGAATTCTCTCTCTCCCTCTATGGTATCAAGGCGCTGAAGTATACAGTTATGCTTTTGGGTCCTGTACAGCTCTCGACAGGCTCTTCACTATTATCAAACTGGATTGGAGTGATGGAAAAATTATATTACTCAAAGTAAGTATACAAAGCATTAACACAAAATAATAATATTTTCACACATTTCACACACGGCCGTCTGCGTGTGCGTTACCCCAGCAAAATGCAGGTTTATCGGTGGCCAAAAAAGGCCGCACACATTGTGATCGTGAACGTGGAGAGCTACATTTCATCATAACTTTTTAGTCACTTACAGTATTCTTACGAAAATTCGTATACATTTGAAGGTAGTTACAAGCAATAGAATAACGTTTCAAGTAAGTCTTTAGAGGTCTTATTTAAAGTGTTAGGACGTATTTGAAGTGTTTTCATACTTACCTAAATAATTTTTAAATGGTCCATTATTTTTATTATTTTATTGTCGAACAAATTAAAACTAATCCATTTCAATTTCAATTTCAATTTCAATTTCAATTTATTGCATTCCATAATGTACATTCAGGTGGTAGGCTTAAAAGTAGATAACAATTATGGACCCTGTCGGGCACAGCACTATCAGGAGAGAGGAGGAGCTGCCTAATTATGCTAGTTTGAAGAGCTTGATTTCAATACCAACATTTTCTGCTTTAAACGAGATAAACTAATTAAACCAAATAGTATATTTAACTTGCATGTTCATAAAAGGATGTAGTTGTTGATAATTTAATAAATTTATTAATGAACAATGTCAGTACAAAATTATTTTACCATTCATTGCATATCAATTTATTGCATAGTCATTCATTATATATTAATATTTATTAAATGTAAATTTATTAGATTTTATGTCTATACTGGCATGTGTTTATAATGATTAATTTTAGTTATTTAAAGTTTATAATTTATCTTCTAAGTATTCCTTGACACTGTAGTAGCATTTATTTATCAGGAGTTTTTTTAATTTGTTAACAAACGTATTGTATTTATTTTCGTTTTTGATTTCGTTTGGTAGCCTATTATATACTTTTACTGACATGACCAATGGTCCAGAGGAGTGAATTGCTAATCTTGAAGTAGGAAGATTTAATCTACTTTTGTGTCTTAGGGTCATTTTGGATTGGATATCTTCGCGCTTGGTGTAGTGTTCCGGATATTTACGAACAAGTTTACATAATTCCAAGATGTAGATGCATGGTAATGTTAGGATTTTGAGTTCTTGAAAGTGTGGTTTACATGTGTCAGTATTTTTTATATTGACCAAGACTCTAATCAATGCCTTTTGCTTAGTAAAAACAGCGGGGACGTCCGTACTATTGCCCCACAAAATTACGCCATAGTTGAGCCAAGAATGTGCGTAGGCGTAATAAGTGACAAGTGCAGTAGGTAGATCTGTGACTTTTTTGACTTCGCGTAGGGCGTATGTAAAACTTGATATTTTTGCGCTCACCTTTTTTACGTGCGCCCTCCAGTTGATATGCGTGTCTATGGTTACCCCGAGTAAGTTAAACTCATTAACAACTTCTATCTTTGATCCATTAAATGTAAAATTGATGTCTATTGGTGATTTTGGTGTGGATGGAAAGTTATCAATTTAGTTTTTGAGAAATTTATTTCCAGATTGTGTTTGTTCATCCAGTCCACTGTTTTTGTGAGTGTTTGGTGAAGATTTTCACAAACATCCACATTAGTTGTACACGAAGTGAGCAAAGAGATGTCGTCCGCAAATAAGACACATGGTCCGTTTATTGTTTTGGGTAGCTCGTTTACATAAATTATAAATAATAGGCACCCAATTACGCTACCTTGAGGAATAGAGGCTTTTATATCTTTCCTGTTTGAACGGATTTTTTGTATCTCGTGTGTGTTTTTGTTGAAGAATTCTAGTTCTACAGTTTGTTTCCTACCTGTTAGATATGACTCTAGCCATTCGTAAGCTTTACCCCGGATTCCAATAGCATACAGCCTATTTAATAGAATATTAAATTGAACTTTGTCGTATGCTTTGCTCATGTCTAATAGAAGACCTACTGCGTATTGCTTATTATTCAAAATGTTTAAGGCTTCTTGGACGTATTTATATACTGCTAAGATCGTGGATTTATTTTTGCGAAATCCATTCTGGCACTCATCTAATATTTTATATTTTTCACAGAAGTTATATATTCTATCTGTCATCGCTTTTTCAAAAATCTTGGATGCAGTCGGTAACAGGGGCGATAGGTCGATAATTGTCTGGGTCGGTTTTTGAGTTTTTCTTGTGTATTGGTTTTACCAAGCTATGTTTTAATTGGTCAGGCACGACGCCTTCTTTAAATGACTGATTAACCAATAAATAAAACGGCAAAGTTAGTTCATCTGCACAGTGTCTCAGTACGGTAGGTGGAAGCTCGTCTATACCACAGCTTTTTACCACACCACAGCTCCTTAAGAAGTTATGTACAAAAGATGGTTACAATCCGCTTACCCGTTTCAGAGATCCAGCAAACCCACAAACGTTACTCCAGCAGGATTTCGAATAACTTCGCAACCGAAGAAAATACAAATACCAAATAAGTTGTAACATTTACCTAGTCCAGATAACTAATTATTTAGCTAAAATTTATTTCAATATTACAATTAAAAAAGAAAATGTCTGGCTGCGGTAACGTTTCAAACGTTACTCCAGCAGGAAATGTTTTTTTGAAATAACTAAAAAAGTTTAAGTGAAACAAATTTAAAAATGTGCTTAACAATTACAGAAGGGGAGCAACTAATTATCTATAAAGTTTAAATGACCATTTTCGACATTATTTTGCTGGGGTAACGCACACGGCCGTCTGCTCCAAACTAGGCATAACCTGTACTATGATAACCAGACTGCTGTTAAACATACTTATATAATTTTAAATACACACATAGATAAAGTACACCCAGACATAGAACAAATGACCGTGCTCATCACACAATTATTTGTCCTGAGTGGGAATCTAACCTACGACCTCTGGCGTAGCAGTCAGGGTCACTAACCACTAGACCAACAGGCCAGTCAGCATGTTGATATAAAATTGATATAATGCGACGTGAGATAGTAAAGCAGAAGTCCAACCATTTTTTTAAATTTATGGAAGGTGTAGGAGGCAAACAAGTAGACGAGGCACCTGCTATTAAGCGATTACCACCGCTCGTGCATACCTTTTTTTTTTTTTTTTTTTTTTTTTTTCCGTGCGGAAATCCCCTCGGATACCACCTGTCGGTGGCATGTCGGACTCGAACCGACTAAAACCGCACGCCTTCGCCGGGTACTAATAGCCGGGGAACCAGGTATACCCTAGAAAGGAAGGCCCTGGTGCCCCGACATACCTCGGGTCATCTACAGACGAGTAGACGACCCCCGCCCCGTGTGGGAACCCCATGTTCCCTGTGCTCCCTGGAAGCGAGCGCGCTTCGCAACGCGCTCGCCGCCACCCCATCCTGCTTCTGCTAGGGTGACAGATGGCCTCACCTGTCACCCCCAGGCCTGCGCTTATGGAGGACGGAGGTCGTTCTGCGACCTCCGGCGCCTGAGTCGCCTGCGCTGCCTGGCCCGTGCCCGGGCCTGGCGGGCCGGGAGAGTTCTAAACCTCTCCCGGTCCCGCTCCGCCGTCTCCTTCGCGAGCATAACTTGCTCGCAGAAGGAGACGGCAGAGTTCCACGCACTCTCGCTCCGCACGATAGCCGCAATCAGGCTATCGAGCGAGAGAACTCCCACTCCGATGGCCGCCACGAGGTCTCGCCTCTGCTCAACCCACGCCGGGCACTCTGCCAGCGTGTGGAGAGCCGTGTCCACGGTCTGGCCATCGCAGTGGTACAACCGCTCGTGCATACTTGTAGCTCTAGAGCTGGGATTCCCAAACTGGTCGATATCAACCCCTTAAGGTCGAAATCGGTTTCCCAGGGGTCGATTTAAACGAAAAGTGATTTTGGGGGTTGACGAGATCTAAATATCGACCCCTGTTTATTAACACAAGTTCTTATTTGAAACTTTCAAGATACTGTATTAGTTGTGTTACGTGTACTAGCTTGTTATAAGAATTACTAATATTTAAGTAGAAAGTATCATTGTTGTACTTTAAAAAACTCAAAAAGTCGATAAGCGTGCAGTAATTTGTCTATGGGGGTCTGAGGTATCAGTTAGTTTTAGATAAGGGGTCTCCTGCCCAAAATAGGTTGAGAGAATCCCTGCTCTAGAGAGATAACTGCAGTACCATCGCTTGAGATCCATTCCAGCATTAACGGAGGTGGTTCAGACCTCCGGTAACCTCACTTACTCGGTTGATGGCAATGAAAGAATTTCTTAATATTGGTTTCCTGTGAGAAATCATAATTTTCACAAGCCTATGACAGTCTACTGCTGGACATAGGCCTTTCCTAAGAAAGGAGGTTTTGGCCTACTATACCACGCTATCCAGACGGGTTAGTATAGGGTTTGTGTCAAGTTTTTCTTCTCTTCGTAGTGCTGTTGCTCAATTAGTCGGCTATTAAGACACCCAATGGATTTATAGTAATGGTGGCAATCGGTATTCTTAACCCGTCATCATACGGACGTTAATACCCCTCTCCCGCATTTAGTCCTTCTGTGTCGATTTAAAGCCTGCTGTGAGTTGCTTCCTTGCTTGCTTATTACCTGTAATATTCACAAGGTAACGCTGCATATCGCCGTAGATATGTTTATGATTCGGATATAAAATGTTATTTTTTGTTATTTCAATCAACATCATTTGTTTTACTATGATCTATCTTAAATAGAGGTAACAGTAACTTCTCTAGATCTGACGGTTTTTTTATAGGTTACATTATTCCACTATGACTTCAGTTTATGGCTTAAATAGGATAGTTGCCAATTGTTACAATAATAGCATAGATATAGCATTTGGATGCTGTGATTTTATGAGTTTGCAGTTTTTGTAAAATCATCCACTCATGAAATGTTCCATGTTTGATCGTAGATAAATTAGTATGTTTTCATAATTATTTCAGGTACCAGCAGATGAAATAAATGCTTTGCAAAGGTTTAGAGATCAAAGTGAGCCGGTGTACTTATTTATATTGGTAAGAATGTTTTGTGCTTTACAAGCATGTGTTCATAGAAATGAGATATAGTCACTTCAAATTAATTTATATTAGTCAAAGCTGGCTTTAAGCACCTATTCCTAAAAGGCACAGCTACTTCTGTAAATTGTATATATATATATATAAATGTTAAGTAGGTTTGTGTCCTCTATAAAAGTACTCGACCCAAAAAATAACTTTGAGGAAATCGAGTTTATCGAAATAAAATGCACTAGATATCTCCTGCTTTCTTTGAAACCGGTTTATAATATATACATAATTTTTTTAAGTTAGTTTTTGTAAGCTTCAAAAACTCAAAAAGTTTTGCACCGATTGAGCTCTTTTAACATGCTAAACAACCCGCTTCAAAGCTCTTATTACCCGCTCTTATTTTTTTCTATTTTCCCATCAGTTTTGTTCTTCATTTCTCACCAATGCAATCATTATGAGACTCGCTGTCGCTTGGCAATGCTTTTTGTAGTTTCAGGTTCTCTGATGACATCGGGTATGTTATAGTATAATATACTCTACATTAATTAATCGTTGGCGACACGGCTTGGTATAGGGTTCATTTCAAGTTTTCTTTCTCTTTGCTGTGCATGTTTATTTAGATAAAATATCTTTGCCGATTCTAAGAATCAAATCGAATGTTTCTTTTGAATAATTTATACAGTTATTGTATTTTCTTTTAAATAATAAAAAAAAACACTTGAAAGGTACGATGTAGAGTAAAATAGACTATTAAACATATACATAATTATTATTTTGTACTGGTATCATTACAATTGCAGAACATGAAAGTCACCAAGTGTTTCCGTGGCGTAGACATGGTGAGGTTTGGAGCAATAGCCAAGAGAGAGATACAGTTATATCAACAAGAACAAAATGGCTTCGAAGAAGAGAGACAGTTATACGAGTTAGATGAACCCACACCAGATGAGTTGGTATGTACTCAAGTCTACTAGTCACAGTAAATTAAAAACATAAATTTGTACTTAGTTTTATTATAATTTCTACTCATACATCACTGAGTGTTTACTCTCTGTTCATCCCGTGGGTGTCGTAAGAGTCGACTAAGGGAGCAAACTAAGCAGGACAACAGCGCTGCAAAGAGAAGGTAAAATCTGCATAAACCCTATATCAACTCGTCTAGGCAGCGTGATATACTAGGCCAAAACTCCTTTCTAAGGAGATATTCATGTCACATCTGCAACCAGCTTTGGTCAATCGGTCGTCCGCACTGCTCCTTCACGACTACGCGCGACCCCATACTGCGTAACAGACAGTCTCCAAGCTGCAAGAGCTGGGGTTGGAAGCTTTCCCTCATCCGCCATACTCACCAGACCTTGCACCTTACCGACTATTACTTTTTCCAAAATTTAGGCAACTTTTTAGTGGGTAAAAATTTCAATTCCCGAGAGGCAGTACAAAATGCCTTTGAGTTTGTTGCCTCCCGTCCACCTGAATTTTACAAGAAGGGCATCAATAAACTGCCAATGCGTTGGCAAAGATGCGTCGATTGCATGGGTGATTACTTCGAATAACAGAAATAAAAAAGTTTGAAAAAATAAGTACTTTCACTTATTGCATACAAAACGGCAATTTCATAGGTAAAGACTTATTATATATAAATCCCACCCACACACAAATAAAATGATCGAAGTCACGACCTCTGAGCAGTCAAGATCGTTAACCACTGCAACAACAGGCCCATCAATACACCTCAATGCGCCTGTACACTCATTGGTTTGTTACAACTCGCTAGTTAGGACCTCCTGTCAGTCAGATAGTCCATCAGTTGAACTGCAACTGTGTGAATTATCTACCCCACTATAAGACATTTTTCTTTAAATCCACGATCTCTCGCTAGGCAGTCACGATCTAACCACTAGATACTTCATTACGTCATTCAACATTGATTTGACTGCCTCGGTGGTGCTGTGGTGGCGTATGCGACAGCTGTGCCGAGGTCTCGGGTTCGATGCCCGGGTTAGGGAAAATATTTTTATGATCTGCAAATATTTGTTTTATAGTTTGGGTGTTTTACAGACTCGTTGTTTACTCGTATGTATATTATGTACGAGTATGTATTTACAAAAAAAGTATAAAAGCATTCTATCGGTCAGTCTAGCTTTCACAGTAAAAGCTCTGCCTAGTTTGATACTAGATGGCGTTGTGTGTCAGACGTCTGAAAATATTATTATTTATATCTTGAATGCGAAATAAAAATAAACTCATGTCAACTTCGACAAACGGGATTAAAAGATTTTGGTACAACTTTTTTAGTATGTAATTGGTTTATTTTTTAACCAATTTACAAAAGGCGGTTCTCAATAAGGTTCTATTATTTTTTCTTCCCTCAGATCTTCGTCATTTATAAAGCGATTTGTAAAATTATTTTTATGTTATTTTCTCGTTAAGTTCCATTCAATTTTAAAGAAAAGCCCTTAAGGGTTAAAAATTAAGAAATTGGGAATATAGTGTCATACAATTCATCATGATATGTGTGCAATGAAGTCTGATACTTTATTTCTGTCTAAATAAGCGTCTATTTGCCTTGAACAATTGATCTACCCAGCTTATAGATCAGTTATTCCTGACAAATACCAATACTCGTTTTTCATTTATCTCGTCATAATTTATGGCTATAACAGAATTCGGACGTTTCGTAAAATACCAGGCAGCTGTCTGGATTTTTCAATCCCATATGAAATTTATGTTCTCCGGATTAGTGTGATACTCGTACAAGTGATGAATGTCTTTTTTGGTTTGGTTTTAAATTTTTTGTATGCAGTGTAAGCTGCTAACGCTAATAGATATGTCTATGCCTATTGTTAATTAATATGGAAATTCTGTAACACAGAATGGAGGCGTGATATACATAAGGAAAAGTTTTGGCCTGTTGGCAATCATCAGATTGTCAACAAGTCAGAACCTTTGGCTCAGGTTCAAACCCAGGACAAATATTGTGTGAGGACCATGTTGATTTGTTCTATGTCTTACCCGCGGCTCCGCTCGCGTAAATATCGGTAAAAGTAAAAAGTAGCCCATGGCTTTCCTAAAGAATCAAAGTATCTTCGTACCGAATTTAATCTAAATCAGTTCTGCGGTTATTGAATCCACCCCCTTTAGGATGTTTTCTGTAATAAAAACTACCCTATGCCCTTTCCGGGGACTCGGTCTATCTCTGTACCAAATTTCATCTAAATCTGTTCAGTTCTAATTGATAGTCAAACAGACACATTTTCGCATTTATAATATTAGTATTGATAAGTACGAATGTTTCGCGTATAGAGGAATTAACTTTACACTATCTGTAGGCGATCGCGGGTAATTTCTTTCCTTAGGTATGGATGTGTATGCATTTAGAAATACACAAGTACGTTTGTTTGTAAAGTATACATTATATGTGCCTGATTGATGGCAATAGTTTTTTTTCTTTTTTCTGTACGTAAAACCCCTCGGATACTGCCCACCGGTGGGTTTGTCGGACTCGAACCGAACCCACAGAACCTCACAGAAAACCGGAATTAGGCACTTCTTTCACCGAGTGAATGAGGTTTTCGGTGGATGGCTTGGCGTTCAAAGGGTCGCAACACTTGTGACTCTTGCATTGCATTTGACCATGAGCAGTGGTAGTTATTATTCTACTAGTTAGCCCCCTATTAGGGATGGAATAAAACTACAATCACTTGGAAAATCTTATGATTTCTGAATCATGTCGTCACACCTGTGACTAATTTACCAAACCACTGCTACGTAATTATTATTATTACGCTAGCGCAACACTCGCAAAAGCATTAAACCTAAAAAAAGTTATCTTTGATAAAAAGAATTTTGATGGATTTTAATGCAATTTATCTTTGTCTATGACGAAATCACAATCAACGTGAAATCGCTGTGAATATAGTCAATCATTTCATCAAATGAATATGATTTAAAAGTAGCAATAATTTCCACATGTACCCACTATATCTTGAAAAATAATGATGTCACACCACAATGTTGTAAACATAGTGTACATTACGGCTTACAATTCGTAATTGTAATCGAGTATCATGTTCAGATACTTGACTTAGGTATGTCACTCGAAATAGAATGTTTTTATTGTTCTACCCGTGACGTTTATACTATTCATATGTCTATGTATTTAAATTCAAGTTAGCGAATGCCTGAAAATTTCTCGTTGAATTTGTGCATTTGGGATTACGCGTATAGAGGAATTAACCCTATAGGCGATCGCGGGTAATTTCTTTCGTTGAGTGACTCGACAGGTAATATTCGGAGTAGCTCGGATGTAGTAAAAGTCTTAGATTATCATTTTGGTAACGTTTGTATATACTAATAGTTATTACTAATAGTTTTTACAACACATTGTTACAAACACTTAAAGATACACACAACATGCTATTATAAATGAGTTGACTTGACATGATTCTTTGAGTACAATTTCTATAACTAAATAAGCAAAGAAATAAAAAAGTGACATGAGTAATTAATAAACTAAAAATATATATTCCGATGTTAAATAATTATCATGTGGTAAACTGATAATACACAAATTTTAGCAAGATATTTGACTGCGAATTCACGGCCAACTCCCATTAAAAGTGATTGTATAAACATTATTCTAAAAGTCAGTTTGGTTGTTTGTATGTGTGGTATTTAATCACGCCAAAACGGCTAAACGAAATTTGACGAATGATGACGAAATTGGATGAAAGACCATTTGAAATCACAAGGCAGAGTTTGTGGGTGTACGTGTGCATCTATGTAATCAGAACAGAGGCACAATGTCAATTTCTGATGTGGTAACGCCACCTGTCCATAGAGAAAGGAACTCTTTAAGTTTTAGTTTTAATTCCCGCTAGGTGAGGCTGTCGGCACCTATCAATCCCTTGATCATATATCGACATCCCGCACGCACGCCGCTAAAAGAACAGTTCGGTGACGTTCGAGACGCGAGACACACCGCACGTTATTTTTTTCTCTCCGCTACCGCATCTCATATAAACTTTAAAAACCAAAAATATTGGTATAACACGCGCCGCGTTCAAGTGTCTTCGGATCACGCTACCGCATTGTCCGCTGAGTGTTAAATCGTGCCTTGCCGGCAAGCTAGTGTCTTTATACCGCGCGGCGCGCCGCCATTTTGTTTTCACAAGCCACACCGAAGCCACGAGAGACCAGGCCGCCTGATCAGCCCGCCAGGTCTGGACAGCAGCTCGACCAGCATCTCAAGACCATCAAGGTAGGCGTGCTTTCCCATATCCTTTTACCCACCTGTCCGGCAGCCGTAACGTACTCAGCATATCAGTTTCAGGCAGCGCTTAGTCGCTGAAGATATCTGCGCACCCGCTCATATGTATTAGCGCCAATAAATTCTATGGCCACCGCCAGTTGGCGCTAACATACATATTTATGGTCCTTCGGCCGCATCTCAGCTTAGAGCTATCCTTTGGGGTCCCTTTGACCCACCGCTTGTCAAGTCTAGATTCGTCTAGTACTTCCTAACCGCCCACTTATTAAGTCTAGATCCATCTAGAACTTAAACCCGCTTAACTAAGATCTATAATCCCGCCAATTTTCGCTTATCTAGCTATCGCCCGCTTAGTTATATATTCTAATTAAACCTAATTTCCTACCTAGGTAAACACTACCTACGTACCAACTTCGCATTCATTCTTCCGCGCCTTATAAGAGTTACCTACTTACTTAGATTATTTAATTTAACGTCATACAATAACTTGATTCATTAGTCAATTACGTGTAGCTTATTTGTTTATAGGTATTTATTTCGTATGCAAAGATTGTAATAAATACCTACCCACATTATATTATATATATATCGCGCCGCTCGCCCGGTTAGTAACTGTAAAGTTGTAGGTAGTTAAATTTGTTTCGCTAGCCGCGTTTCGATCTCCCTGTGTCTTGTCGGTTCATA